AGTACCCTGGCGTCTACAAACTAAGTTGCCTCTGTGGTAGCAGTTACATTGGAGAAACCAAACGACATGTCTTGGACCGCATCCGTGAACATAAAGCAGACCTGAAACACGGTAGGACAAACACCTCAGCCGTGGCAGATCAATGTTACAATTCAGTGGGCTCACATGACATTGACTTCTCCAAGTCAGAGGTTCTCTGCAAGCCATCTGGCTACCATGAGAGATTCGTTCATGAGGCGATCCACATATACAAACACAGAGACAATTTCAACCGAGAAGATGGATTCTGGCTCAGCAATCATTGGAAGAACGTAATAAACCACTTCGGATCTTAACTGATTGTTGTTCACGTTTATGGTGACTTTCAGACCGCAGTCCACTCACTGGCATTAACTGTGCATCTTGTGTTCTCCACAGGGAATGCATTATTTGCTCCGCTGCGGGTCTCCTGCCACCGTTCTCCCATTCACATGTTTCATTGCTTCTACATACTATTAACATGCCCTCCCTTTGTTAATGCTACCCCCCTCCCTTTGGTGCTGCTGATCCTGCATAATGCATGGGCATAATATGACTTTGAAACCCCCCCGCCTACCTCCTACGCATTTCCCATGAATATGCTAAATTCCTCTTGATATGCACATTATTTTGTTAAGGCTCTCTTCTTCTTCCACCTCCAACTCAGCTTATATATAAGCTCCTAGCTTGGCAGTGTCTCATTCTTCACCTGAAGACGGCTGCTTGCGTTGTAGCCGAAACGTCGTGAGAATTATTTGATTTTATTATGTTTTATTTTTATTATTTTATTACTTCCCTTCTACGTGACTTTACCGAAAGAACCAAGAGGATTCTCACCATCATCATCACTTACAGCCCTTTATCAATATATATGCTGAAGGTTTCCCCACGCCTTTCGGTCATGGAGTTTTTTTTTACTATACTTCACCACGCTGGTCAGTACGGGTTGGTGAGGAAAATAACACCGCTTCAGTTACCACTCCTCACCGATGTTTGCTGTGATCAGGAGTCGAACTCGGATTTGCCACATTCATAGTGCAGCACACTCGCCATTGTGAAGGTTAAGATCACAACTATAGATACATCCATTGTCCGTTAAAAATAATCTATACACGTATTGCAATTGCAGTACTACTGTTATAAAAAAATGCAATTGGGATGTCCATTTTGTATTGTGCGTAAATTGCAATGAACCTTGATATATAAAACATATTTCTCGAAGACAATCTACGGTGCCATAGATTAAACCTGTATGTGTACTGATGCCTAATTATTTCGATGTATGTTTTATAATGAGATTACCAGCTTTTATGATACAAACGCACATATGTAGGCAAAGTATTGATACAATAACCGTATTGTTTTAACAAGTCGACAAGATATTTAACGCCTTGCAGACGACTGAACGACAGCGTGCCATAGTTCACACCTCCGCTGTTAATTGGAGCTCTTCTTATTAGCAAAACGAGACAGCGCGTCACGATGCAATGCGTGGAAATATATAGCAGCCAAATACTCTAAACGCATATTGATTAATTATAAACGTGGACGGAAAACTGGAGGACCCGGAGAAAAATCTACGAGACCACGGGGAGAGAGAACATGCAAACTCCAAATATACAGCAGGCGTAAGGGTTGGGATCGAACCGACGACCTCCTGCATTCCAGGCGAGGGAGTTAACATCTCGCCACTGTGGCCCTCATAATAATAATCCACCTTGCCACCTGTACGGAGGATTGCAACGACGATGCCGCGGCGTTACGAGTAGACGAATTTGGGACGTTATCCCGCAAACGGTCATAACAATAGAGGTCACTCTTCGACCACATAAGAGTGCTCGTTAGAAAGTAGTGGGGTATCTCTACATTGATCGCCCTGTGTACTCATACTGCACTGCGCTTTATTCCAAGCACGTGGTCGCTACGTCCATAGAGTGTGCAGCGAGTCCTGTTAACAAATACGGTAGTCATGAGAATTCATACCCAGATATTTTCGCATACTTCAAGTCAAGCGGGGGGAAAAACGATTGCTTTACCATTTCCGCAGCTAAAGATGAAACATAGTAAGTACTGCGGGTTCGTCATTCCACTGCTGGATGAATGGCACCCCACGCAGATTCAGAAATTGGGTTGTTATTGTTGTTTTACCATTCCTCTCTTAGCTGGTGACAGCAGGTTAGTGAAGGCGCGGAGGGAGGCCCAGTACCGGTTAAAATATCACCACTATTAGCTATTGTTTATGAAGGGCATTTGAATGATTTCACGTTAAGGAACAAGATACACAATACCATTGTTTCTCATTTACCAAGTAATACACTTACCAGCAGTATAACTGCACTAATAGGTGGCCCATTTTACCCGTGCCTACTGGTTATCCGCAGGACCGCGATTGTTTTCTTCTCGCGGATAAATGAGTTCATTCTTTCTTACATAACCGTGCGAATAACAGGAACCGTGCATTTCGTTTCCCCAAAGCAGCGCAGACAAGAGTCGTCCTGTATCAGGACAACAGATTTAAAATATTTGTATTGGTCGAGGGAATAATTTTTCATGCCATAATGATTAAAGCCAGTACTATCCAATTTGTAGGCTTTTTGCCGTATTCGAATAAAAAGCAACTTGTTTCGGCAACAACAACAAAAAAACTAATTAGCCAGGCAAGTGATAGCTTTGCTCATTAGATTACTTTGTAATTTTAAAGTACTGGCCAGGTCAACATGCTCTGTTGTAGTACCGTATTATCCGGATTTTAAGACGCACTTTTTACTCCAGTATGTTTATTTTTTTCAAAAGTTGGGGGTGCGTCTTAAAACCCGATAGGTGTGTGACCAGATTTGTATAACTTTGACACCGGGCACAAGCCTGGTGGCCCGTCTTATAATCCAGAGACTACGGTATGTCTACCAGCTGGAAAAGCTTTCTTCTATATTTTTAGGTGTTTTCGGTAATGTCACGTAGGTAAAACATTAAAATTAATAAAAGTAAAATAAAATAAAAATCACGACGTTTCGGAGGCAACACAAGTCTCCGTCATCAGGTGGGACCGTCACAGCCAGATTTGCTGCATCAAGTGAGGCAATGATTCAAGATGTAATCCCTTAATGTTTTACCTACGTGACTTTACCGAAAACACATAAGAATATGAATCCTTGCAGTCACGAAAGCTTCAAATCTAGAATTAAGCTTTCTTCTGTTCACCAAAAAAGCAATCAGGCAGGCTGCTACTCGTGGTGATGCGCATTTTTATAATTAAGCCCTCTGCTTTATACTCGTCTCGCCACACGGATGAGCGCCTGCAGCATTGCAATGACGATGCTTCGGGGATGATAGCGATGAATGAGACATTCTGCAGCAGCACGGCATTAATAACGGACGCATACAATGGTCTGGTGAATTTGTTGGCACTGCACGCTTGTCCAATTACGTTGCTTAAAAGCTTGCAGTCGGGGATGCCACCAATGGGAAAGGCCGACTCACGTGCATGCTTTATTGGCAGCCTTGTCGCAAATTACTCACGGCAATGTCTTGTATATTTTCAATCACCAGCGTTGTAACTATTAACTGCTATATATTAAGATAAATTACGTATGGAAGCTAATTGCCAATAATAATGCAGTGGCTGCATAACAGAATTCAGGCTTTAGGGTCAGTTAAATTCATTGTAACCTGCGTTTTTACGCCCAACAATCACTGCACACTATTTGGTTCTTTCGGTAAAGTCAAGTAGTTAGAAATAAAATAAAACTAATCACGACGTTTATTTTATTTCTAACTACGTGACTTTATCGAAAGAACCAAAGAGTATGGATTCCTGCAGTCACGAAAGCTTCAAATCAAGAATCACTGCACAATAAAAGCAAAAACAATTTTACTTAAAACTTTCGTGACTGCAGGAATTCATATTCTTGGTTCTTTCGGTAAAGTCACATAGATATTAAAATAATAGAATATCAGTGAATACAAATAAAAATGATAAAAAATAAAATAAAAAACAATGTAGACTGTAGTCTTGGTTCTTAATCGGAGTGTACTGGCAGTCTATAATTTGACCCCCCCCCCTCTCTCTAGGTTTGTTTTCTCATTCATTCTTACCCATTGACGGTTGCTTGTGTTGCTTCAAATCAAGTTTGAACCACCACTACGGGGAGGATTTCCACACAACTCACACTTAACTTCTAATTTAGCAATCTTTGGAAGAACGTAATCAACCAGGCTATGCATTAACTGTTGTGTTAACATAATCTCTGTGTTGCATTGCATTACATTTCCAAATTTTACTACGTTTGTTTTCTCAAACTTCCTATTTCTCTCTAAATTTTGCCAGGTTTGTCTATCGGTCCATTTTCTCTCCTCCAGCCACTACAGGGAGGATTTCCACACAACTCTCTCATTGACATGCTAATTTCTCTACCCCCCCCTCTCTCTGCTCCAAACCCCCTCCTCTCTCTCTATTTAAGGCCTCGACAGAGGCGTTGTTTCTCTGTATCTGTGTGTCTCTCTCTGTCTCTGTATCTCTCTCTGCGTGTGTCTATGTGTCTGTGTTTTGTCTCTCTCTCAAATGTAGCAATCTTTGGAAGAACGTAATCAACCAGGTAGGGTGTTGACTGTTGTTAGCCGACTCTCTGTGTTGTATTGCATTATATTTCTAAGTTTACTATGTTTGTTTTCTCATTCATTTTTACCTGATGATGGTTGCTTGTGTTGCAATAAAAACGTCGTATTCTATTACTATTTAACTTATTTCTTTCTACGTTACAAAGTTTAAACGTTTTGTTTCTTCTGCGCATCTATCCTCGCTGCGCTTGGACATGACAACAGAACAATCCGCGCCAGGTGGCTTGCGGAATTTGTGTGTTAAGTGGGAAGGAGTCGCCAAAAATAAATTAATTACGATTTTGACTTCCGTTTATTTGGGACCCCGGGGTCCCGCCATAAGGTTCATTTAGAGAATACAACATTTAGAGAACACAACAAAATGAGGTCTGCAATCATGATCAGTGTGCCCTCAAAATATTGGATGGGAATGACAAATCATTGAGCAATACACATGAATGTGACGATATGTATACAGTATTTTTTAAATGTTACAAGTAGACTAGTAATAACACCCCTTTAAAACAAGTGTAACATGCACTGCAAATAATATATTAAAATATTGATCATAAAGCCCTTCCCTGATTGTAATGCATCTTCACAACGAATCTTTTTTTTATGCCTTAAAATGTACGGTAAACGTTTTTTTTTTACTCCAGCGTTGAATTCCTTTATTTTGCGCACACTTGTGGTCCATCTTAAAAATTTCACTAAAATGTCTGCAGCGCTGAAGGCTTCGATCAGTGTTCCTTAACCTGAAGTCCACGAACCGCCTGGCGATACGAGACATACCAGATTTTTTTCAGAAGGTAAATCATCGAAACAAATTAAGGGCACCTAAGTACAACTACTTTGTTTCATTAAACCTATGTATTTATTACAATTATAAAAAAAATTACGATTGAGAATCAAAGGGGTGCAAGGCTGCAGTAACGCTTAAGAACCATTGGCTTAGATTATATCGCAAAAGCTGTCGATTTTTTTTACTTGTTCATCCATGCTTGTAACATCTCCTCAGATTGGCACACAATCTTCTACCATACACTCAACTATTTTAATTTTATCTAAACCACAACGTTGGAATGCACTAATCGGTGTTGCCATCTGCTCCAAGTGAATCAAACAATTCCAACAAAACAAACCTTTTGGAATGCAAGGAATATTTGATTTGAAAGGATACGCCATATATGCACAATCAGCTGCTGGATGAGGGCCTCCCCATTCCATGTGAGTTCTTTTACCATTTTTCACCACGTTGGTCAATGTAGGCTAAGGCGGGAGGAGCATATACGTTGGAGCAGATATCGACAGCACAACAATTAATGTTGCTGTATTGCCCTTTGCTGACAATCCTATGCCTGAATAATGTACGCTGGTATATACATCCAAGCACTATTCACGCTCAATGCACGGTTTAGCTTCAAGAGGTGACGAGATCGATAAAAATCTGAGTGATTTGTGGTCATTGGTTGATAGTCCATTTAGATGCATTTATTTCCAAATACAGTACAGCATAGGGACACCAAAACAAAGGCAGGGCTTTATGGTCACCGAGTGTATACATATGCACCATTAAAATCTCATCCATCTTTCAGAATCCACCCAGTTCATATGATGTAATTTGATTGATTTGAATAATCTCCGTATCTGAACACAACCAATATGAGATCACATTTACCAGGAAAAACATAATTTATTCATACATGTTGAGATGAAATGCACAATCATATACTCCAGCATTACAGCATTCATTTAAGTTCTTGCGTATACGTTGTTGGGTGCCTGTTGGAAATTCATAGGTTTATATCCATTTTAAAGTACCAACAATTAAACTTTCACGACCATGTGTAAAAATAGCTATTTCCTTACACAACGCTGTCATAGTTACAAACTAGTTTACAATCGCGCATCAAATGTGTTATTTTATTACATCTTAAACCATTTTGGACATTTGCAAACCTTTTCCAGAAAAAGGTGTGAGCGTGCATGGGTTTGCCCTGGATTTTAATCTTCGAACTACACAGGATGCAAAAAACACAAGCTCACACGCACAAAAGTATGCCGATGCAACTTGATATGAAATGAACAACTATTTTTTTTATAACATTTTGCAATAGTTTTTTTTTACAAATTGTTTTGATTGTTGTTGGATGATGTGGAAAGGACTCGAGTAATGGGAATAGCAGATTATTTTCAGTTTATACCCCATAGGGCTGCTACACATGCTGGGTAACACAATGGAAATAATGTAGTAAATTCAACAGTAAAGGTGATGATTGCACCCGGCTTTTTGTAGCCAACATTCACATCGAATTCTCAACTGCCCAACAAATAAAAGACATCTATCCACTTGGACAACTGACATTTATATAGTTTATATTTGACAAAAAGTCTTTCACTTCTTTTAAAGAAGAGTTTATGGGTATGGTGTGAGATGAGAAAGGACTGTGTACCATTAGGTTACTGTCAAGTTAATAAACAAACATGCAAATATCCATAATATGTAATCATTAACTGTTGTGTACCACATGTGCTGCAATATAAAAAAAAAACACGTAAAAAAGACTGCATACATACACTTTTTTTCAGTAATAGAAGCAATATATTTACTAACCAGATATAGCTTGCACATTAGCACTTTGATCGTGATACCTAACAATTGTTTGTCATCTTAAACTCTGTGCACAGCACATCAAGACCAACACGTTGTTTGTCAGCACTATGCCACCTAAATACTGCAGTAAAGTGCACTTCACAATGATATATCATTCATCATTCCACAGTCAGTGCAACTATTTGGTGGTACATTTTTTTTCAGCATACTTATTATATATACATATTTTGGCAGTTGAAAATGCATCTGACTACATTGTGAATACTACTGCATTTCATGTTTTCAATAATTTACACCAAATGCATATTTACAAGAAATGCAGTTAAGTTTACAGTTATCCGCAAGGCAACATTTTCATTTATGTACATATATTACGCATAAATGTAATATTAATAATAATGTACAGACACAACACCACAAGTGCACAGCATCACATTCTCCATGGGTTGAATTGCCGTCAGGTAAATGGCAATGGAATTTGAGTCGGTCTAATGAGGCGATCAACTTTGCAGAGTGAACAATTCTGGTGGCAATACGTCAGAGTTCAATTCTGCATTGAAAAAAAAAAAGGTGTACTATTTAATTCTGCATGTTAATGCTTCATTCACATTCATAAGAGAGCCTGTACGAGCATGACAAGAGCACAACACGTAAGCTTTGCAAAAAAGCTCAACCATGACTCTTTGTATTTAACGTTTTGTAATGTGTCACCTGGCTCCTTTAGCTACGCGATACTCTTTCTGTAGAAGGGGCCGTCTCAGGAGAGACCCTGAGTTGCATGGGTAATTTGAAACGCTCATGCTGCATGAATCACACTCCAACCACATTTACCGGGTTCCTACCCTACCCTCTAACGGGAAATACGGGTACTGCAAGAACGATTAACGATTTCACAAGACCCATGACATGGGCCCTGCTCATACCAAGAGTAAAAGAGAGGAATCAGACTCATGTAATGTCTTGTGTTTAACTTGTTGCCATGTGTGGTCAATTGCAGTTAATAAATACGGAGTGGGAAAACTTTTGTTTGAAGCCACACCTGGCACAGATGACAAATATAACGTAAAAAAGTCAGCACTGTCTTCCCTTAACTGGGCTCGCACATCAATGGGGCATTTGACATCTGCAAGAAAACAAATGAGGGAGCAGGCTTAATATCCCCTTTAAGGACAGTGCTCTTATTGATACGTGTGCATCCGACAAGGGATTCCAGATTGGAAAGTGTAGGGACAGTGATCGCTGCACTACTACGACTACATCACCAAGTGATTATTTGAATTTTGCTGGCAGATTAAGAAACTACCAACACATCTGTGGGCTTCGTTATAAACACCACTATAATACACACGAATAAAACGAGTAATGTGCATTCAGTGTACAATACCATACCAAGTTTCTTCCAAACGGAACAATTTGATACACGAGCTATATATATATACAGGCCTGTCCAGGAGCCCTTGAATGGCATGAATGAAACTGTGATTCTGCTCGCTATTAGTGTATTCTTCTACATTTTTATGCAAAGTGTATCCAGTGATGGTTAAGATTGGTGAATAATTACCTTTTGGCTAAAAGCCCTGGCTCATTTTCAGTAGATTGTTTTAAACCTGGCAAGGTCAAGCACTTCACTCAGAGGAACACATTACATAGTTTCTTAGATTCTGCTTTTTTGCAGCAGTAATACATACCATGAATAATACATAACTCTAAAGCTAAATGTACAATAGTTTTTAGATATAGGGATGCACAATATTTTCACATGCTTCTGTATTTTCTATTTACATCATTTCATATTTTGCCACACCGATTTGCATGAGGATTGCGGCAAAGTTTTAACTGACCTTGACAAACTATTTAGGATGCAGTTAAGAGTGTGCTCGCCACAGCCTTATACATTCGACTCTACAAAAGGGCGTTTAGGAATTAGTGGGGAGGTGCACGGTGGCTTGGGATCCTTGACCACATGCTGTACAATGAGGCCCACTCCATCCTGATATCCCTGCAATGAGAGTGAAGCTGGCTTTGAGGACCTATCCTCATCATTTGTGGAGGGTTCCTCCTGCATAAGGCATCGTCCGTTATGCATGTTGTTGTTATTTTGCTGATTTGGCAAAGGTGGTGAGTCAATGTCAGTGCCCTCTTGTTGCTCAAGATAATTGTTTGTCTTGTTGTAATAGGCCAGGCTGTTCATTGGAGGTGATACCGCGGAGGAGAGGGGTGAGTCAGAGACGGGACTTGTCACAATAACGTCAACCGATGACGTGACCCACTTCCTGCCACTTTGTGATTGCTGCTGTTGTGGTGTTGGCTGCTGTGCTGATACGAGTGGCAGTTGCAACTGATGGGCCCGAGCACGTTTGTCTGTGACTCCCATGAAGGGTGTCGGGCGGGACTTGCTGTCAGGCAAAACAAACTGTCTCGAATCTTGTGTGGGAGATATCACACCAGGGCACTCACCTCCACTGCAAGCAACTCCAATGCTATTTGCACTGGTCAGCGATTTTAGGTCCAATGTGGTACGGATGCGCACCTCAGCTTGGGGACTGCAGGCATACTGGGGATTCCCTGCCTCCATCAGACTGAGAGAAGAGCTGCAGAGGCCAGTGCTCATAACATGAAGCGAAGGACGAGGAGTAGGTGGATGCGGCCTCACTTCCAGGGGAATGAGTTGACCTGGACGGCTATAAGCTCCCATTGTTGACTCCCTACACAGCTTGGGCTTCTCTTGCTCTTTGCACTCAAATACACTTGCATTTAAATCTGACAGAGGATGATTACTGTTCACGTGGGGCTCTGTTTCCAAAATCGACAGGTGCTGCTCAAGTCCTCTGTTGCCACCAGTTAGCATTGGCCTACCACTACTCATCTCAACATTCAGGGATGTTTGGTGAAAAACTCTGCCTTGAGATACAGCAGAGGAGGGCAATTCCATTGATCTCTGCATCACTGGACTTTTAGGTTCATATTGTGACATTCTGTTTCCCAATCCAACATTCATTCCTCTGCTAACCAGCCAGGGATGTTGGGCCGATTGGGTTCTAAGCATTTTCTCTCGAGCAGCGGCATCCTGGTGTGATCGAGGAACCATTTGAGTACTCTCCCCAGGCCTGAGTTCAGCTCTGCCGTAAATGTCTGACCCCAAGTTGCATTTAACTCTCATTTCTTGCTGCAGTGCATCAGACCAGGGAGAGGTCTCAATGGGAGATGGGTAAGTCGGGCGAGAACGCAAAGCTTGGGGAGAAGACGGAGACTCATCCTCATCACAATCCTCTACTTTGCCATTGGCATCCTTTGGAATTGCCACAGGAAAATATTCCTTGGTTCCACCATAAGTGGGAGGCTCAGCATAGTAATCCTCTTCAGTTTGTGTGCAGTTTCCTTCCTGTTGTACTTGCTGCTGCTGGCTCTGTGGAAGCAGGAGCTGCTGCTGACATTCATCCTCCACCCGTGCGAGTAGGCGACGAATTTCCCGGTTCTCTGGGCATAAGCGCACCGCCTCATGTAGGTCCTCCAGCGCGGCCATGAACTGTCTGGGATGTGCAAGGTGAGCCACAGTCAGTTTTCTTGTGTGAAATATATCACAGACTTGTGTGTCTTGTGTGAAACATATGCTATTCTATTAACCAAATGCCAGAGCTGCAAGGAATTATTTCTTAAAGCCTTGTTGAATGCACCGCTACAACACCCACCTGCTGCTGCGCTTGGCACGAGCCCGGGCGTAAAAAGCCTCATACGATTTTGACTTCAATTCCAGAGCCTTTGTAGAAAATTCTTCTGCCATTCCATAATCCTTATTGAACAAAATATTAGTCTCAACATCAACATGTATTTTGTATGACTATTAGTCATAGTAATATGATGATTCGATTGCAGGGTAAATTTTTCAACTCAAAAAATAAAAACTGTCATATTTCAAGTATAATAATAAGGCTGTGCATAGTACTAAAGAAAACAATTCACTGGTTGTTGATACAGCTCGGGACTCACATTCATCTTGCGACGGCAGCGTGACAGATTGAGATACAAGGTGACCTTGAGTTCACGGAAGGTCTTCAGTTCTTCACCAAAGCCCTCACGGGGAAATTTCTTCAGAGCATACTGGTAGCGCTGGGCTGCTTCTTTCATTCGTCCTGCCTGTGATACCAAATGAAGACAAACATTTTTTGATCAGTCTGGTTGGAATACAAGCTTATAGCAGATTTATATATCTGTATATCTGATCTTCAACCGTTTTATGTATCCCAAAGTCTACTGCATGGGCAACTGTGAATTGAAGCCAATCACTAGCTAGAATAACAGGTGACGTTTCAGAGTACTTACACAGCACCTCTGAGAGTCTAGGTTCAAGCTCTGGAGCTGGGTCGTTTGTCTCTTACGAGGTTCATGAAGGTATTTTCCAAGTAGTGATTAAGCATGTTAGATGGTAGGTTCAGGCTCTGACGCTGTGTTTTAAGAGGTTTACAATCACTATATCTATTCTTGTGATACCAGGTTTAAGTCCTATGCCTGTGTTTGTCTCAAAGCAAATTACAAATGGCCATGTTTGAACACCGATTCAGTGTCCACGTTCTAAAGTCTGTTTATGCGCAGTTATATGTTAATTTATGCGACTACGCGGTGCAGCGCAGTACCACAAAGCACCCTACCTACCAGTAAATCATAGATTCGGCACTGTAAGTACGTGAACTTCAAATGTAAATTACTGCTTTACCTTGTAGAGGAGGTTTCCCTCCTCAATCAACTTGTTGAGCAATATTATCATGACGTCTGGCTTTGAGGTGGCCATAGCCCAGGAAGCAGGACCTTAAATATATACATACAGGGTAAATAAACGAGACAACAGTGGGCACGTATCATTATTAGTGTCATAATTTATTTTAAAATAATATTTAACATATAACATGGCATATAACTCCAGTGCAAAAGTACAAGTGAAATACATTGTGATAATGTCGTAATTTAACTCAATAGACTAATGTCTGGGTTGATTTGAAACATTCGTGACTGCAGGAATCCATACCCTTTGGTTCTTTCGGTAAAGTCACGTAGATAGAAAATTATTAATAGATCACGACATTTCGATCGCAACACAAGCGACCGTCCTCACCTGAAGACGGTCGCTTGTGTTGCGATCGAAACGTCGTGATCCATTAATAATTATCTATCTGCGTGACTTTACCGAAAGAACCAAAGAGGATAATGTCTGGGTATTAACACAAATAACAACAACTTTACCCAATGCTGTAAGTTTAACTTTCCAAAAAATATTGAGCATTTTTCTTATATTATGAGGTGAATGTGTTATATTTTGGCACAGATACATCCACCCCAAGTTATGTAGTAGATATATTACCAAGCTTGGCACCCTTTTTCAGTAAGGCAACAACCACAGCGGTGTTCCGGCATCCAATAGCACGGTCGAGTGGGCGCATGCCACTATAATCCACATGCTCTATCATGGCTCCATGCTCCACCAGATATTGGACCTGTTACACAAACACAAATCGCACAAGACTGACTGATTATTTAGTCACTGTATTGAGAAAAAACTATGCCTGGTGAAGGTAGGTGAAACAACAATAGTGTTAATATAATAATTGGTTTTTTACCCTTTTATCTGGCAACAAAACTGACACCTTTTTACAAGGAGTCATGTTTGCATTGACCACAATACCTGCAGTCAGAATGCAAACAAAAAACATAACTCTGATAATGTATGCACTGTCCTTAAAATTGACTAGTGTTGACAAGTGAATGGTTTATAGCTTTGTAAGATATGCAGTCCATATTATAAAAAAATGCACATTTTTTTACTGATTTTAATTATCCAAGCTATTATTCATCATAAAAATATAGCAAACTTAGCTTCCATTACTGTGGATGTGGTGGTTTTCAGCCCAAGTGTGGGACGTGCTTACCACTCCAGCATCACCATAGAAAGCAGCGAGATCGAGTGGCGTGCGCCCATTCTTGTCCGTATGATCGATGGCGGCACCACGTCCAACCAAAGATTGCACCACCGGCTGGTGGCCCTTCAGACAGGCCCAGCTGAGGGCACTGAGTCCTTCCTTGTCCACACATCCGATACTCGCACCTGCACAATGGTGACAAACCATCAATAAGCTGCCCAAGAAAAGTATAGTGTGAGATTACGGATGCGATTTTGTGGCACCATAAGGTAGCACGAGCCATGAAAGTGTAGTAGTACCTTTGGAAAGGAGGTATTCCACTGTTCCAATGTGACCCTCGCAGGATGCAACCATGAGAGCTGTGTGACCCTGCCTGTCCATAGCATCCACCTCTGCACCCCGTTTCAGCAGTAAGTCCACTACCTAGAGAAAACATAAATGAAACCAAATCAACTGTGGTCTAAATAAACGCCCGAACTTAGTGTTTGTCGGCTGGACACCAGGTCTAGTGATGCCAACCTGAACTGCTGGTGGGATGACATTAGAATCAATGCAGTAGTCATTGAGGATTTAGCTCAATCCTATGCACAAGAAAAACAAGAGTGTCTACATACATACCTGCCACTGGCCCTGACGCGCTGCACTGAACACGGGGCTGATCCCACGGCGGTTGGGCTGCGAAAGCGTGGCTCCGCGCTCAAACAGCAGCTCACATATCTCCAGCCTGCCACGGCCACTGGCTGCAGTGAGTGCTGTCAGATGCGAGAGGGTGTAACAACACTTATATGAATTCTGAATATGTATTTTCATTGAATTTTAAGCACAAGCAAGGGAGTAAAAAAAAAATACGTGGAGACTTGTTGTGAACCATACAAATAATATTTCATTCCATTAAACATAAAGACTGCATTTCTATTTTAGAGTAGCACAACCACCCAATTTAAATATTGGTTAGAGGTTAGAGGAGAACTCTATTAAAAATGAAAGCATCATGTCAATCAATCATCGTCAAAAATGAAGAAATTGCAAAGGCAAACAGTAATAATTGAGTTAATCCAATTAAGCATGTCTTGACAAGCAGTCGTGATGTGCAATGTGGGCAGCTACCCTTAAGCAGTCAAGATAATCGAAGCTGTCTTGTGGTTGTTGTTGTTTGACTTGCATCCCACTGAGATTTTTGCACACAGCGTTGGTGTACGGTGTTTTTTCTGCAATATTTTTGCTGTCTTTTCTTGAATTTTCTGTTTGCACTTAGTCACATATTCACTTTAAGATGTTTTTTGTTCATGTTTTTGTTTTTTGTTTGTTGCGGTTGCACCCGATTCAAGAGCTGAATGGCTCACAGGGCTATACCTAATAAATGAACTTGAACTTGAACTTGATATCCTTTTGTGGTTCAGTGCCTTCAATTGCCTATCTGCTGTACTTTATATTTGTCAAACGTGTCTCTTACTGCATACCAATTTTTATTCCCAATGCAGAATTCATAGGCGAGTGCACTCCCATACCGTCCCCTATTTCTCTATTTCTCTGCTATTTGGCAATAGGCCTTCAACATCCTCAAGGTGACCTCAAGTCTCTTTGGGTTTAATAATGGATATAGGAGACATCCAAAGCTTGCTCAATCACATGTGCCAACATGAATTAACGCGCACACCATGTCAGGTAAAAAGGCAATAAACAAACCAATGGCCTTGAAAGTACATTGAAGAGCCACAGTATATCAAAGAAGACAGTAAGGAACTCAACATAATAATCGTGTAGCTTAAATACTGGATTGGTGTTCTTACCCAAAAAATAAACAATGACGCATCCTGTCAAAATTTGCATAAATATTGGATGACTATATTAAGGATAGATTAGAATCAAACACCAAATTTAATTCACTGCTCATGCATATATTTCAATGTTTTTGCTACTAAATTAAAAGCATACATATCAATAAAAAAACACAAACAAAACAGAATTCAGTGTTAAATATTGATTTTATAAGTCTCCACATTTTACTGCTTTGGCTTTAGTATGCATCACATGAACTGGAATCGTGACTGACCGGTCTCTCCCCACAGACTGTCAAAGGCATCGATTTGTGACTGATTCTCCTGTTTCTTTTCATCAGCCGAAAAATCCAACAGATACTCCACAACCTGCAAACAGGTACACAGATATTCAATTACATGCAGGCTTCTGCTCTCATTACCCTTCTCATGGCATAAATCAAGTCTACAGGTTGACAGGAAGCAAATTAAATAAATCCATAAATCCTTCCATCAAAATGAAGTTGTAAATACTCTGGCCTCCTGAGGGATTGACTATTAGATACATTTTGCACAGCCCTTGACATATCAGAACATCCTCTCATGGTACGAACAGACACTTGAATAGAGATATTCGAATGTGTAAGCATGCGCTCTGTGAGTTTAGTTTTATAAGTGTTCCATATACTGTGTAATGGTCATGTTTTCTTCAAACATGTGTAGGGCAGATGTAATGATATATCGATTTATTCATTTCAATTCTTAAGCTCAAAACACATGTATCATGTGCACAATATATACATATTTAATGTACATATATTTTATATGGCTACGATGTTCACCACCATACGCAAAAAATTATCAAATATTTAATTGAATCATGAGCATTAATCGTAACAATTCATTGATTCACTTGGGGAGGGAGGGGGGGGAATCATTGCATCTCAAGCGTGTAAAAGATAAATGTGCAGCTCTTGTTCTTGAAACTTTTGGAGGAAGGTCCTCCACCATAAGTAGTTGGAAGTACCCACAATGTACCCTACCTGCTGATCAACAAATTGCGTCGTGTAATGTAGCGTGTCGTGCACTTAAAACAGCATGAACAATATCATCCATCTGCCGTGCAGTTTGTGCCCATTCGAGGGTGCGCAGATCTGGGCACCTCAGTGTGGCCCATGCTGGAGGCAGCCGTGAGGCCCTGCTGCATCGCCTGTCCCTTGTGCGGCAATCCGGGTTGTTGCCCAGCCAAGGACCAGTCCTGGTTCACCAGGAACTCCACGATCGAGCGGTGACCCCGCAGTGCGGCGTGCACCAGCGCACATTGCCCATTGCGGTCCACGTGTGCCAGCTGCATGCACAATTAGAGGCTTCACGTGAGGACACTGGTACTGTACATCATTGTGCAGAGATAGTTTAATCTCGTGTCATCTCCTCTTATTGGTATCTAATATGCAATCATAAATATCCTACACTTAGTTATAGTGAAGGGTGGAGTGGTCATTCGCCACACTATGAACCTAGAGACCCAAGACTGCTGGCCACATTAGTGAACGGTTAGTGATGTCTGAATTGGTTCTGAGCACCCCTCTCTTCATCAATCAAACTGAGCAGCGGGTGAAGTACCATCAAACCCCATAATCACAAAAATTATAAAGACCTTCATTTACCGCTGGATTGACAAAGAGGTGTTTGTAAATGGGCAATGTGAAATTCTGCCACATTTTGAACGTTACTTATCAGACTTAATTTGGAGCTTTCGTGACTACAGGAATTGCTCTTTGGTTCTTTCGTGTAGAAAGAAAAGAAAAATTTAATAATATCATACGACGCTTCGATTGCAACACAAGCAATCATCATCAGGTACGAATGAATGAGAAAACAAACCTAGTAAACTTAGAAATATAATGCTAACATAACAGTCAACACCCTACCTGGTTGATTGCGTTCTTCCGTTTACGTTACTTATCAGTTTAACACGTAGGTTTTCGCGATCAATATCATCCATAATATAGGTTTTTTTTCCATTCAAGTTACTTATCATTCAAGAGTTGTGAGACTTAAGAGCCATATGAAGGGATACATAATCTTGCCATCTTATCTATAGGTAAATAAATGAGGGTATTTAATATTTATTGGATTCACCACGCCCGGTCACCTTTGTCCCCCCAGTGGCGATGTTCACACACCACACCAATTACTCGTTTGAGGCTGATTCGACCTAGGGGAGGCCCAGGACCGGATCAAATAATCGTCACCGGTGGTGGCCGTGAGCGTGAATCGAACTCGGGTCGCCGGGTTCGTAGCGCAGCACGCTAACCACTACTCTACCGCTCCCCCCACACACGCGCGTGCGTCCATAGGTACATATACACGCGCTTGCTGCAGACACACACAACTTTCAGGGTCCGTACGGCAGTAAACGACTGAAATAATAACCAATGCTGCGCGAAGAACGCCTTAGACCTGCAACACATTTGTATGGCACTTTACTCGTGGAGGTTTGGGGGGTGGAGGTTTGGGGGGGGGGGGATGCATGACATAGCAGGCACACTGCGTTACGCTTCCGCATTTGCGGGAGTGACATGACAGATGTGACGTTACAGCTCACTTTCCATGCAAAATATATGCATTATTGCGCCCCCCCCCCCCAAAAAAAAATATACAAAAGTCTATTTTTATAATTTTTGCATGATGTACAGTCTGGAAAGAACACACATGGCAAATTTCAAGTTTGTTGCATGGCGGGAAGTATGCTAAACATTTTGAACAGATACACATATTCACAAATTTCACTTTTATATATATAAAGATGTTCATTTGGCTTTGTTTAAAATTGACAAATCACTGTTATTTAATTTACAATATTTATTATTTGGTTCTTTCGGTAAAGTCACGTAGGTATAAAATAAAAATAAATCACGACGTTTTGGGCGCAACACAAAGAGTATGGATTCCTGCAGTCACGAAAGTTCAAATCAAGAATGAACAATATTTGTTTCTTAACTATCTGCTGACAAAGGAAACACTTTACAAATATAATTCAGAAACCAAAATGTCATACATAATCCGTAAGAGATTTTTTGGGTTACATTGCATGAATATAAATGTGTCATTAAACCTGCCACCGCCCACACAGTCAATTAGTAAGGTTTGTCACGTAAACAAAACATGCCAATTAGTTACTAGTTCAGCACACCGGTGTGTTGGGGAGTAAACCTACAACATTTACAATTTGAGTACGATGTTTCGGCGGTAATTACAACCAGCCTCATCAGGCGACAGGCAGAGTTGTCGGGTGGTGGTGAATTTAACGACAAATTTTTATTTACGCAATTTAACCCAAAAAACACTATTATTTCGATTTAAAGCTTTCGTGACTGCAGGGATTCATCTTCTTGGTTCTTTCGGTAAAGTCACGTAGAAGGGAAGTAATAAGTCGCGGCATCTCTTCAGAAAGGTGAGAGACTCGATTAGCTGAGCCTTCTTATCACGGAGCTTGTTAAAGGATCTCAAAGTTATGTGGAATCCCTCCCCGTAGAGGCGAAATTTAACCGCCTCTACGGGGAGGGATTCCACATAACTTTGAGATCCTTCAACAAGCTCCGTGATAAGAAGGCTCAGCTAATCGAGTCTCTCACCTTTCTGAAGAGATGCCGCGACTTATTACTTCCCTTCTACGTGACTTTACCGAAAGAACCAAGAAGATGAACACTATTATTGATAATATTGGTCGTGAAAGTCTATTTATCATGCGTAATCCTAAGTCAACTTTAAATAAAATCCACAACATATGTAAAGGTATCCTAAAATATTGGTAAATGCCTGTAGAACATTTAAGATAAGAGATTGGCGTTACAACTATTAAGAGCGCTAAACTCACTTCTTTATGACAGTGCAGCACTGCAATTACTTACTCATGCCACTGCTGCCACGAGAGGGAGCTCTAGAGTGTCTCAAGAGGGCAATTGGCCTACTTTTCCACACTGGCCTGGCTAGAATGAGAGAACCCATCACACATTGCCCTTTGCCAAATAGACTGTGGTATAACCATTCATACTCCTGGGCGGACAGATGTGGGGCATATTAACAAACTTGCTTATTGTTTCAATTTCTGCACTGGGAGATCGCATCGGCGACTTCTGAATTCCAAGTCCAGTGTGATAATTATTACACTATGGTAGCATTCCCAACTGCAGACGACCTCTTAAAACCAGCAAAATTTAACAAACGAGTGCACAAGCCAGGGCTGTAGAATTGACTGCGAGGTTGTTGAAACAAAATAATTACGCCTTTTTAATTATCAATGAGGCAAAACTCACTTCTTTGGTAATGATTTGAGTAGTGGTTCTTAACTCGTGGGTCACCTTTCATGGGGGGGATGCAGACTGTGGCACAGAGACCGTGCAGGAGAAATTCTGAATGTCAACACCACGTTGCGGCGACAAAGCACAATACGAAACATGCCTTACTAACACCGCACTGACGAGGGGTGTGGACATGTGCTCTCTCCATACAGTAGCCTGTGAAATATTAGTTGTTGTTTTTTAGGGCTGGGGCAGTCTCTGATTTGAGGGACACCATTGGAAAAAAATTAAGAACCGCATGATTGGAGCATGATTTAAATCCAGATAGACCACTATGAATGCTACTAAAGTGTAACAAACAAATGCACAGGCTAGGGCAGCTGTAAAATAGACCTACCTTGGCACTGCGACGACAGAGACGAGCGACAATTTCCAGCTGCCCGGCAGCTGCAGCGTAGCACAGCGGTGTCATTCCACTCTCGCTGGTCGTGTCCATATCAGCGCCCGAGTCCAGCAGCAAGGAGACCATCTCGCTGTAGCCCAAGTGGGACTCCACACACAGCACCGGCGCATTGCTCAGTGCCTCTGTGCGGAAATCCACGTTTGCCCCCGCCAGAATTAGTAGCCGAGACACCTGGAGGTCAGAAAAGCGTGTAAAATAAACGGGCGAAGAAATGGAAGCGGGAGGAGGAAGCATGAGAGGGAAATACTTGAGTTGACAAGAGGTGCGGAGAAAATCCGAGACACAGTCAGACAGGTAGGTAGCGAGTAAAATGGAGATTCAGACAGAGAAAAAGAACCAGAAAAAAAAACAGATATTGCTTAAAGATTTGGGCAGGCAGGTTTCAGTAAAAATATAAACTGGCTGTGTAAACTTTCACACCAGCAGCAGCTTATAGCAATATAAGCTTATGGCATACTATTTGGAAATAATAAAAATGTGAATACATCCCTTGGGCATATTTTTGCAGTGACAAATATAATTGGCAAAAGTGTACTTACAGTGAACACAACTCCCCAAATTAGTCATAAATGTACTTAAATATTGTCTAAACTATCCATCAATTATAACAGTTATGATCCTAGTATGTCAATGTATATGTTAGAAATATTATTTCAATGTCTAAATGAAGTAAACAATCTTATAAAAACAGCACAGCAATGACTAGTCTAGTTTCTTCCCACATGTTAAAATACTTAAGAAAAACAAACATCCAAGAGAAGATTTTCTGGAAAAAAGTCTTGCCAATTTGCAATGCCTTTCTTAATAAATAAGACAAAGGGTGTTATTAAAATAGTTGACAAAATATTAGTTAATACTGCATCGTTCAACATGTGCCTCAGGCCATCAAATGTAAAATTAAAACCGAAAGTATATAGAGCTGGCAAGTTTGAATCCTGATATTTGTAATATTCTCAGGTGCAAAGCCCATTTGGCCTGAATCTTTACCTTGATGTTGGGCGTGTAGAGGTTGCGGAGTGAGGCCAGTGCAGCAGACAAGCTGTCTGTGCTGTACCCCACCCACAGAGCCTGCAGGATGCTAGATGAGATACCGAGTTTCTTGCTCAAACCCTGCAGATAGCAGCAGAGGGTGCAAATAACATTAGCAATGTATCAAAGCTTTAGTATAGCAAGCCAAATGCATGTTATCATTTCTGCACATTCTTTACAAAATTTAAGCGAACATTTATTACTTTCCAAACATCACTTCATCTTCATGTATTGCTAATTTTTATTTAAACAACTCCATTTAGAGAAGAAAAATGTAAGAGTAAGCAACACGTTATTTTATGTTAAATATGCAAGATAAACTTAACATACTATTTGGTGGTGACCACTAATTAAGCCGCAATATTAGTTATAACCGCTCTTAGAGGCAAGTTTATTTTTGGCATTGCCACGGGAGCTGCAAGCACGTCTGCCTTTTCAACAGACCGATGCTTCTTGTGACATTAACAGAACATTTTCACAACCTTTACTGCCATTGAACCCAAAAAGAAAGTCCTACAATGACCTAAGCCATGGATACCATACGGTTGTGGCCAGTCACAGCCCAGTGAAAGAGAAACAACCAAGACACAAAGACAATTTATCACAATTTTTTTGTCTCCGACTCCAAAAGAGTGACTTCTGCAGTACTGAACTGAGCAAGCAAACCGTGGCTTTTACTAGAATAAATATTTATTTATTTATTTACTCGGCCCACCAACCCCCTTCAAAGAAAACACTAAATTTATGCTCCCTATTCAATTATTCTCAAGCCTCTGCCCTGCTAAGTGCCATGGCAACCCTCATGACAACTGATGAGCCGATATTGGTAGGCTGCCACTCGAGCTATCGCCCGTGACGCTCTCGCATGTCGCACACTTCAGTGATCATCTTGCTGCATTCTTCTCCAATCAGCTTCACGAAATAAAGAAGTGCCCCTACAACACTTGGTTTAATTGAAAATGGGAATTATTTCGGTAAAGTCACGTAGAAAGAAAATACATTCAATAATATAATACGACGTTTCGATTGCAACACAAGCAGTCGTCATCAGGTAGGACTAAGTTTGAGAGAGAGACAAAACACAGACACGGAGACACACAGACAGACACACAAGCAGAGAGAGACAACACAGAGACACAGAGAGAGAGACACAACAAACACACCTCTTTGTGTCTATGCAGCAGTGCATACTGACTGTGGTGGTACTTGCTTTAACTACAGCAGTGCATACCGACTGTGTTGGTACCTGCTATCACTACAGCAGTGCATACCAACTGTGTTGGTACCTGCTATCACCACAGCAGTGCATACCGACTTTGGTGGTATCTGCTTTCACTACAGTAGTGCATACTCACTGTGGTGGTACCTGGTTTCACTACAGCAGTGCATATCGACTGTGGTGGTCCTGCTTTAACTACAGCATTGCATACTGACTATGGTGGTTCCTGCTTTCATTACAGCAGTGCATACCGACTGTGGTGGTACCTGCTATCACCACAGCAGTGCATGCCGACTGTGGTAATATCTGCTTTCACTACAGCAATACATACCGACTTTGGTGGTTCCTGCTTTCATTACGGAAGTGCATTCTGACTGTGGTGAATACCTGCTATGATTACAGCAGTGTATACTAAGGTGGCACCTGCTATCACTACAGTAGTACATGCTGACTCTATAGCAGTATATATCGACTCTATAGCACAAACTACTAACCTGACAGAGTGCCGTGGTGAGACCTATTCCCGTGCAGAGCCCCCGCCCTCGCCTAGATTGTCCAGCCGGCCGAGGTGGCACCTTGGCAGGCGGGGGGGGCTGGGCCACTACCACCCCCTCACCCACCATCCCCCCCTATAATATTAGTGTCTACCAACCCTATACTTTGCTGATTTTACCTCAGCGTTGTGTATTTTTTTTGCATTTTGAAGACGAATGAGAAATCCCCCCCTCTACCGATGACGCGTGTGCTTTGCTAGGGGCAACGCCCGGGCAGCTTTAGCGCTGCGGGAGGAAATAATTAAATAATAATAAATCACTACATTGTTTATTTAACTACTTTAAAGTTGACGGATGGGTAAATGGAATAGCGCTGGCTCACCACGGGGCTTCCGGCGTGGTACCTGGCTACTTTTTTTTTTTATATATAAACCCCACGGTTTGCGAGCCAAATCCTTCGCAAGTTGCGTCCACACACAGACAGATGGACAGACGGACAGACAGACAGACAGACGGACAGACAGACAGACAGATGGACAGACAAAAAAATTACATTTATAGGTTAGATGCAAATGTGCTACAGGAAATATTGCTTCAAAACGGAGCGGAAGAAAACCAATTAAAGAAGTGGGCAAGAGCCAATGGAGTGCTTTTGGACATCACTCTTCAAAAGGGTATCAATGCGCTTAAATAAAATATTATACAACATAGTTCTCCTTCAATTATGACATTTATTTGCCAAATAGTTTTTTTTTTATGTTGTACCATATTAATACTGATTGCAAGTAAAATATCATTGCACATCGAATATTTCAATATCAATATATTAAAAAACAGGCCTGGTGAAGTCTGCCTCTAAAAATGGTAAACTTTTGAAGTGTGTTCCTTTAAAACGTAATGATTCTCTGGCTAACATCCACGTTTTATGTTGCTAAGGGTTGTTTGCATGAACTCTGGCAGTATGAACTTAAGTGCATGAGTGAAATTAAATCATCAAAATGAAGTCAATTCACTGGCCTTTTTAAAATGTAGTACATGCTAAGATTAATAAAAATGTATAAGAAAGCTAGCGTTATTAAAAAGGCAAAATTTGTTGAACTCGTCTTGGAATCTCAATGAATGAATCCGTTTCTTCTTGGAGATCCGTTTCTTCTTGTAGAGTTCTGCACACAAATCACTGTGCGCCTTTGCATGGCAGATGAGACCTGCCTTATAGATGTGAGCCTTGAGGACGTGGTGGCCCAGCTCCATCGTGTGCTGTCGATTAAGCTTTCCCTCCTGACGCGAGAAGCTCATGGCCAGCAGTGCATGACCACTCCTGCGCACACAATCACATCAACAATGATGCTGTAACAGATGGTGAAGGCAGATAAACCTAGTCTCGAAACCCACAACAGCCAAACCATCCATGTGAAGGGCAAACATTCAAAGGGTAGAACACACACTTATGCTAGATACAGCTCGACTTACTTGCAATCTCACAGTTCACACGCAAAATTGATAAATCACACAAGGATCAACATGCACCTGAGATACACACCTGGACAGCTACAAAGTGGAATATAAACTGCATTACAGCACACTTATCGATCTGTCCTTGTGTATGTTTGACCAGTCTCCTTGTATGCTAGGCTTTTATTTGGCTGCTTCAGTTTCCTACCAAATTCATAAACATTTCAAGAAAAAATTACATCTTGTACAGCACCCTCTTGAGAATTGAATCTTGATGCGATTATTATCACTGAACTGATGAGAGTCCAATACAAGCACACATTATTAACCCTGATGCTATTTAAATGTGTGGTTTGACTTAGTACAGCACACACTGTAAAATGTTGACACCAAATTTATTACTGTATGAGACATGTAAAACAAGCATATTCATTGGAATTTCTTAAGTGGCTATTCTGCCTGTAACTTGAATTATATAACATAATTTAGTTAACTCGTGCAATAGTTTGGGTTGTGCATTTATCAGACATTGACGACAGACGGGTTAAGTATTTTTTTTCTATAACTAGCAACAGACACATCCTTTGGATGTGTCCGTCCTGTCCCAGCCAGCCAGTCAGCTAAACGTTTAACCTTATATAGAGCCCAGTCTCTCTCCGTCTTTCTCGTGCTTTCTCTTTACTGTATATCGCAATTTATCTCAATTTCTCGCTTTGTCTCCGATATAATTTATTTCTCTATTTGTCTGTCCCCTCTTCTACCTATCCCTTCCTCTTTATTCCTCTCCTCTCTCTACTGTATGCCACCTACTTCCACCCCATATCTCTCCATCTTAACTTTCACCCTTGCTCTGCTTATTCCCAGCTCCCACTTCCATGACAAAAAGATGTGGAAAAGCCTTCGTTCAGCAGTGGATTAACAAATCGTTGTAAAAAATAATTTAACCATTTCACGTAGAGACTTCATAGAATTTACAAAGTGTCATCGCTTCTCAGGGGTCGATTCCAATGCAGTTTAAAAAATATCCTTCAATGTTGATTATGGCACCAACAAAAAGGCCATTGAAGACCTGGCCTTTGCTAGGCTTCACACTCCAGGAGCAACTCCCACTCAAAATGCTTCACCTATCTCGGTATAACCCACGACTTATACAGCTGTCTTCTGTCAGAAATTTCCAAGACCGCAGATTCATCGAGGTTTTGATCACTTAGGCAAGAGCCTCATCTTGCAATTCTCTGTCTCTAGCTAGTCTCGGCAAATTTTCACAGGAGATACAGCCTTTGATGCCCTTTTGTTGGTGTCATTATAGTTGCTGCAGATGGGGAAAAAATAACGCGATGAAAAAGACAAACGTGAGTGCCAAAGCTAACAAATCACGAGAAGGGATGATGGGCAAGCGTGGTGATGGAAAGGGTGCCAAAGGAGGGATCCTGCTCGAAACCACTAAGATGCAGTGATGAGATGAGCATGTGTACAAGCGAGATGGACTGTGGAATTTGCTGATCCGTGGGAAGTGGTGACGTTGGAAACCCTTCAGCAGTGGATAGAACATGACTGATGATACTAATGATGTAAAACAAAGTTTATTTAAAAAAACTATTGTGAGAACATGTTTAGTGTAATACTGCACTATTTGATTTGATTATTTCCCCTAGTTGACAAGGTGTTCTCAATTATACAAATAGGCTTATGATGATAATGAAATTATGTCTGTCAGGGTTAAAGAGACATTACACAGATGAAGCATGCATACCCATAAATTAAATTTCAACACTATAACCTGGGACCTGTTACCTCCAACTTACCTAAATTGCCACAATTATTTTCACATGACTCACAGTACTCACGCTTTGCATGAGTGTTGATCTATTGCAGAAATTAGCATTATTTCAATATATTGCATTGTATAACCTTGTCGGTTCGGAAATAAAAGAGCCATCAAACTCTGGGTCAACCTCAGTAGTTATCAATTTTGGTATCGCTCTGTGTGCCACCTGTTAATGACCATTTGATCACATAAACTCACAGCTTACAACCCCCATTATATACTGGTTGCTGCCTTTGATATCATTAATAGTTCCAAACAAATTGGCTGAAAATGGCACAACGTGTACACAGAACAAAAAATGTGTCAGGTTAATAACGTTTATTAAACCGTTGCAACTCAACAGCCAGCAAGAATGGTGACAAAACAGATATCTATGGATTTGTATTTGTGTACTTATTAATTTAGAGAAAGTATAATTCAGTTAACAATGAGGACAGATTCACATCTTGCCAAACTAGGTGGCAATTTGCTTTATTTTGTATTAAAGAGAATGGTACATATTCACAAAAACATCGCTGTACATTTTGACTTTTGCATATGCTGTGTCGTGCGACTTGCCGTGAGCTAGAGGGACCCCTATTCAGTCCCTCCAGAAAAACGCGATTATGCGATCGCAAGATTCCACGCAAAATCAGCCAAAGTCCGCATATTTATGTGGGGGGCGCGTTTTTTCAAATACGCCGCACTTTCGCCGCATAAATTGCAGATTTCCGCGCGCAAAATATGCGGGCTTGCATGATTTCATAATCCCCGCATTTTCGTTGCAAAAAGTCACATATATCTTAGCAGAAAGTTGAAAAATGTTGCGTTTACTTCACACAAGCGCAGCCATTTCCCATGTTGCCATGGGAACGTTATGAAGTGACGTCACTCATTACGCGACATCATTGAAAAGCTGCAAACCCCGCGATGCCAATGAAACCATGATGAAGAGTTTATGCAACTTTACAGTTGTAAGATTGCACTTTTTTGTTAGTAGTATGTAAATTTACATTACTGTAAGACTGTATTGTTACTGTATTGCTTACGTTACTGTGCACTGAAAATACTTATTTTAACAGAAGATGTCTGTTTTGTATAGCTACCTCTGTAAAACAGGAAGCACACATTTTATTTTTTAATATTTTATTTATTAATTTTTACAGAAGTTGTAGCATATTCATTTTGTAAAGCTACAGAACTTGTTCGACTCAATGTTTTGTAAGTTTGAGCCATCTGTTTGTTAAGGTCTGAAATAAAACAAGATGAGAACTTAAATATTCCTAGCACCTACTGTGATGTAGTATGCTTGCTTATCATAGGAAGTAATAAGAAATGACTCTTTACATTAAAGTAGTAGCCTAGTGAATAGGGTGTTGGGGGAATCACTTTTTTTTCTCTTTTTCATCAAACCGCAGTTTTTGCAAGTTCCCGCAATTTTATCGCATAAAATTGCATAAATATCCCGCATATTCCATCGCATTTTTTAAGAAAACGTGCCGCATAATCAACGATTTTTGCCCGCAACAATCACCAAAAAACTCCGCGTTTTTCTGGAGGGACTGCCTATTGGCACGAGGGATGGTAGTTTGGGACACACACTTGGGGAGCAAGATGGGAGACATAAGTGCTCGCATAGCCCATCTGCAGGTCGGTTATCAAAAGCTCTCTGCTTTTTATTTTGATGGATAACGAAGAAATGTAATAGCGGACAGCACTATTGACTGTATATATACAAACTATGTTGTAGCAAATATAAAACACATCAAAATTAAGCACAAATATATATGTATAGGCTTATTCAATTTGAACAACCTATTGCGTCATTATTTTTAAGCATCACAATCTTTATTTAGGCTGGAGGAATCCAATGAGCTATGAAGTTCTTTTTCACGGATGTACAGTAAGCTACATTTTTTTCAAAATAATATCAAAGGCAGGATAAAAAAATTATATTGAAATAAAATATTTTAGTAAAAAAGTACTTTCTATTTAATGTAATCTTACTTGTCATGTTAAGAAGCAGAGTAAGATAAAAAAATGTACTTAACCATTACTCTCCAATGTGTATATATATACTTTTTTAATACGTAAACCCCACAGTTGGTCAGTTAAAAACGTCTCAAGGTACCCGCACAGACAGACATACACGCACAGACAGACAAAACATTTATTTTATAGGTAAGATATTGCCATAATGCGTACCATAAAATTTGGTCTGACTGAAAGTTTTCTGTGGTGGAGGTATAATCATACCCATCAACCCATACGGTTTAACTATATTCAATGCGGGCAAAAAAACTTTAGTCTCGGTTTCTCCATTGTGATTGGACTTTGTAGGATGAACGTTGAGATTTATAAGAGCACGGGGTGACCAATAAGGTCTGAATTGGTCTGTAATAAGGTGAGGGCACTGATAAGGGGTTCACAGGTATGGTATATTATAGTACTCTCATATTTACCAAGATGTCTGGCATGTGTGGCAAAAGTCTTCCACATTACCCTTGAGCGGGGCTCTCTACAGCTCCCTGTAATGTAGGCCCTTCTGCCAGCAGTGTTGTGAGCAAGCAATTGCAGGGATGCACCTTTACTTAAAAAAAAATATTTTACTCTATTAATTTGATACAATGAAGCGAAGTAGGCAATCAGTCATAGATCAATAGGTAAAGGTCTCACCTGGGATCACAGAGGAACTTGGTGCTCTCGCCCTCGGGCCGCCACATGAGCCACTCGCGGAACGAGGGGTGGCAGAACATGCGTGTGCCATCCCGCCGCCGCACCAGGAAGGGAGACACGCTCTCCAAGGCAAACGTGAACGCAGCTACGGCATCCGAGCGAGGCCCCGTCACCCATCCAGCCGTAAGCGCACGCAGCAGCTGCTCATCAGCGAGCGGGTGCAGAGATGCCAGTGCCACGCAGAGCAGTGGCTGTGCCCGGGAAAACGCTGCCCCCGAAGGGAAGCGCAGATTGCACTGAAGCAGGTACACCTCCGACAGCGAGACAGGGAGCACCTGTCAAAAAATTAGCAGAGGGATAGGGGAGATACATGTGTAGTGTCGTGCGTCTCTTCTTCGTTCTCTTGCTCGAGGCTTGTGTGCGAGCGGGTGGCGTGCGTCGCACACACACTCAGTCGGAGACGAGGTGGTCGCAGGAGACACTGTCCTCCCCTTTTATTGTTGTTGAGTTCACGCGACCACTCGGGGCCCCCTCCCTCTCACGACCATGCTGCCGCACGACCCGTCCCAGACACGACCCTATCCGCGGTGCACTCACGGCGTCGACCGGGACAGCCAACTACTGTCTGGGCTAAGGCGGCAGCGACGAGGGCGGCGACAACGACGACGAGACGAGTCCAATCCCAGAACCGGCAGCCCAGAGGCCTCGCTCTCTGCTGCTTATATTCCCCTCGGCGCGGCTTGGCTCCGCGCTAGCCATGCCTCCCTTCTCGAACCCACCAGAGGGTTACCAGGGGCTTACCCACAAGGTCTACTCTGACCCTTGCCCCAGTTCCTCCGCCCTGCCGGCACACCCGCGTATATGCTCAGCGGCCTGTGCGCTAAGTGCCCACCTGCAGTTGCAGCTGCTGTACAACAGTCAGCGCTATGTCACTACACATGTGTAATGAGCGACTTCTGCGACACGTCATGTAGAGGGTATTTCTTTATTCTTATACGGGCACAACACAGGCCAACCTTATCTTTTTACTCTGAGTACAATACTTAGATGTTAGCGTCTCTACTGGCTACACACACATGGCCGATCACTCGGCGCAGTTCCACTGTCCACACTCGGCTACGCCGCTGGCTGGTGGCGTGCCGAGGAGGGTGATGTAAGCCTGCAGGAGATCTTCCACGTGGCCGGATGACGGCGAGTAACGACGCAGTCCGGACCCAAGACTCCACACATGAACCCCGAGCCCTTGTCCGCCCCCGCTTATATCTCCCCAGGCACGGCTAGGCTCCGCCTCTGGCCACGCCCTATCGTGGAACCTTCGAGCAGGTTCCCGGAGCATCTCGGCCAACCCTGCCCATTACCTTTGCCCCAGATACCTCTCCCTTTCAGATTGGATGTTGTTTAGCGGTGCCTGTACCCGTGCTTCCCTTTTCTAGCCAACAGGTGTCATCATGTCATTACACATGTACTGTACAAATGCATAAGCTTTGCATATGTATGGGTTGTACTGTGTAAACTACAGAATACATATTCTGAATACTGCTCATAACAGGTAAGCTGGATATAACATTGTTCGGTGGGAATGTGTGAACCACTGCACCACCATTCCACCGTTATGTATGAAGTGCACGCAGGAGGCACGTAGATTTTGCAAGTCTCCATTGTAAAAGAGACGTTGGTCTCAATGGGCTCTAACCTGGCTAGAAAATTCACAAGCTGTGCATGTTATGCATGTAATGAGTCTTTGCCACCATGGTTCAATTCAAGAATCGGGTGTTTTTTGTATATTGTAGTAACTGAAGTGCCTCTAGTGGCTGGAGCGAGTCATGTAAACCAATTATTTACAATTTAGTATGGTATGATTAAAAGTAATAATCTATGCCTCAAATTTCCTGACTGGCTGCTGGCTGGGCTCCTTTCCACCCCAACAGTAACTCTGTTGTCAGTGGCTGTGGGCCACTGCCACCAAAAATAGTTGGGTAACTGGCTAAAATGGCATTTTACGTGTAACAAATAAATATTGAATTGTGGTGAAATGGCGGAAGAAGCTCAATGGACATTATAGACAGCAACACCGAAGGTGGGAGGAATGAATACAGAAGACTTACACGGTTCATTCAACATTTCTCCAACTTTTGAATGTGTATGCCTTTAAGGTCATTCTTACACCATAATATTCTTTAAATCATAAATAGTATAAAAAAACCTCACAATACATATTATATTGGCATTATATTACACAAATATCAGATTACGTTGAGTGCTTCGAGTATATTCCATGTTAAAGATCATTAGGCGTGGCAAGAAAATCCACACATCATAATGAAGAACGCAGGTGAGTATCCTACCCGCTTAGTGATGCTGTATTTAATGCCAATGCACATTCACTATATGCTACTATGACCAAATAACCCCATCTTACCTATAAAAGTCATGTTTTGTCTGTCCGTCTGTCTCTGTGTGTTAAGACGAAACTTGTAAAGAATTTGGCTGGCGAACCGTGGGGTTTACGTTTAAAAATAAGTAGTCAGGTTCCACCCCGTAAGCCCCGTGGTGAGCCAGCGCTATTCCATTTTCCCATCCGTCAACTTTGAAGTCGCTAAATGTACAATGTAGTGAAACTTTTCATTATTTAATTATTTCCTCGCATCATCGGTGGAGGGGGGGGGGGGTGATTTCTCACAAAATACATACAACGCTGAGTTAAATTCATCAAAGTGTCATGTCTTCTCCCCCCCCCACCCCAATGTGTGCACTTACTACTATATGGTCGGTAGACACTAATATTATAGCGGTTAGATAGTATTATTGTAGCGCGGGCAGGGGAATGGTGAGGGGGGGGATAGCAGGCCCAGCCCCCAGCCTGCCAAGGTGCCACCTCGGCCGGCTAGGCAATCTAGGCGAAGGCCGGGGGCTAACGACGTGACTAGGCCTCACCACGGCACTCTGTCAGGTTTATAGTTTGTGCTATACAGTCGATATATACTGCTATAGTCAGCATGTACTACTGTAGTTATAGCAGGTACCACCACAGTCAGTATGCACTACTGTTATCATAGGTACCACCACAATCAGTATGCACTGCTGTAGTAAAAGCAGGTACCAACACAGTATGTACTGCAGTAATCATAGCAGGTACCACCAGTCAATATGCACTGCTGTAATCATAGCAAGTACCACCACAGCCAGTATGCACTGCTGTTATTATCATAGCAGGTACCACCAGTCAGTCAGTATGCACTGCTGTTATCATAGCAGGTACCACCACAGTTAGTATGCACTGCTGTAGCGAAAGCAGGTACCAGCACATTATGCACTGCACTAATCATAGCAGGTACCACCACAGTCAGTATGCACTGCTGTTATCATAGCAGGTACCACCACAGACAGTATGCACTGCTATTATCATAGCAGTTACCACCAGTCAGTAGGCACTGCTGTAATCATAGGTGCAACCAGTCAGTATGCACTGCTGTTATCATAGCAGGTACCCCCACAGTCAGCATGCACTGCTGTAATATTAGCAGGTACCACCACAGTCTGTATGCACTGATGTAAAGAAAGCAGGCACCACCACAGATGCACTGATGTAATCATAGCAGGTACCACCACAGCAATATGCACTGCTGTATTCATAGCAGGTATCACCACAGTAGGCACTGCTGTAGTCATAGCAGGTGCCACCAAAGTAAGTATGCACTGCTGTAGTGAAAGCAGGTACCACCGCAGTCAGTATGCACTGCTGTAGGTGAAAGCAGGTACCACAACAGTATGCACTGCTGTAATCATAGCAAGTAGTTGCAGAAGCTGACGTGTTAAACTCACATTAATCCTTCACATTTTGAACATGAATACTTTTAAGTTACATTTTATCTTCGGTCATTTGTTACATTAGTCAAGCTACAAGTTACGTCAATAATATTTATATCTAAATTGCACGAATATTTTTAAAAAATCCACAGTATCATAAATTATGCATAGCATAAAAATAAGTAAATGGTTTTTCGTAACTTGATGTGGAATACTTCCCACCAGGTCATAGCTTTATTGGAACCCAGCCTCATAAAACACATTCCTGCGGAGGGAGCTGATAGGAACGTGGGGTTGCTCGGTCAATGGCCAGGGTCAAAGGCGGTGTGGTGTATTCCGCAAATATGCCCGACTGTGAGGGCGGGCACAAGCCGGCGTGAGTAGGTTAAACGTTAAGTTTTATAAGGGCACCACGGGGTGACCAGCCCCTCCCCACCCAGCCCCTCCCCACCCAGCTCCACCCCTCCCACCCCCCACCCAGCCCCTCCCCACCCTCCCCACCCAACCCCTCCCCACCCAGCCCCACCCCACCCATCCCCACCCAGCCCCTCCCTGCACGACGGACGGACACAATAATCCCCTGTGGGCTGGTGTAACCAGGAGGTTCCTACCAGTATAATACAATGAGTTTGACCTGTGTAATGTAAATACATAAGATGTATAATCAATAAGCATTCCCAACGGCACAGATTATACTACATCCAGGGCCAATAACCACACTGTTTTCTGACTTAATATTTAGCCATTTTTAGACGTGATATTTCATTATTTTCAAATCAATATTTATTTTTAGGTTCTTCTGTGGCAGTTTCATTTGACTAAGTAAACTTTCGAAATTATTACACAAGGCAGTTTCCAATGCCACTCATAATTAAAATTTTAGTAAAACATAAAAAGAATTGTAATATGTCAATAATTTTAAAAGCAGAAAAGAGGAGGCAGACTTAAACATAGGTAATCTTCTTACAATGTTGATCCTTCTTGGCAGGTCATTCCATGTAACTATAGCTCCGATTAGTGGAGATGAGTCATTCAACGTTGCACAAATGTTTGGCTTATTAAATTATTATATTCTGTCGTGAACAGATGTTTAAATGGCTGCAGACCTCTTCCAGGAATACACCTATAATATGGCTGTGTGCCAATTGCGACGAATATCTAGGGTTGGCAGAAGATCATTTGTAGGCAACAAGCACCCCCTGAGTCTTGAATGTGAGAATGACGAGTCAGTGCCTCACCTTGTAGCCGGAGCTCTTCAACACGAGGTGTCCCTTCTTCTATGAGGTCGAGGGTAAGACGAAGAAAGAGGTACGATCCACGTGCCAAAGAGGACAGGTGCGAGACCAGCTTAGCCAGCGCCGCGCCATCGGGCCGTCCACTCAGCGCAATGTTGCTCTGAATCTCGTGGCTTCCGTTGACACGATACATGACGTAGGCCTGCAGGTCTCGTTCCACAAGTCCCATGTCTACGGCCCCGCCAGCCACACTGGCGCTGTCTAGCTGGATGGTGGTGAATGGCAATAAGCTCTGTCACCTCCTGGCAAAGGAAAGAAAATCACATTGATATACATGGCATTGTATAAACAGATGTATACACAAATGAAAACAAAAACATTTAATACCACTTAAAATATTTGTTGGTTGTCAGACCAAACTTTAGCTTTGTGAATATGTATTTTTTTAAATCCCATGAATAAATACATAACATTTTCTGACAAGCCAGGTGGCCAAAAAACTTGATTATACATGTAAAATGTCCTCATTCTTACTGAATGCATAAATAAAACAGCCTCGGCATAACCAGCACCTGCATGCTGTTTCGAACAGTCAGCACGAGCTTGAGCCATGGAGGGAACTTGCAGAGGAGCTTAGTGATGAAGGAGGCAATGGTGTCCCCGTAGTCAGGCTTGTGGAACTCAGCCTCATTGAGTCCGTCCACTAGAACCAAGAAATCTTCATCTAGGATCTTCCGCTCTGCAATGGCAATGCACAAGTAATGGTAACTGTTATTGCGTGGATACTTACTTCAAGGTTTCCTTACCACCACTACACAGTATTGCATGAAGTGGATTATGCAAAATGGCAATTAGTACTTTATTACTAAATAAGGATCTATAGACTTGATAATTGGTTTTTTACCCTTCTATCTGGCAACAAAACTGACGCCTTTTTACAAGGAGTCATGTTTGCATTGACCACAATACCTGCAGTCATAATACAAACAAAAGACATAACTCTGATAATGTGCACTGTCCTTGAAGTTGATTGGTCCACACCCGAGACAGCTTTCCTTAGAGCCGAGTCTCACATGGGTTGGACCAGATGACGCCAAAAGGCGCACAACTCAAAGACAATGCACCATCAGAGTATGAGAGCTCGGGGTAAGCCTTTACACCATGGGAACCTCATTTGCCAGTAAAAATATAATTGGTTTTTCACCCTTCTATCTGGCAACAAAACTGACACCTTTTTACAAGGAGTCATGTTTGCATAGACCGCAATACCTGCAGTCATAATACAAACAAAAGACATAACTCTGATAATGTGCACTGTCCTTGAAGTTGATTGGTCCACACCCGAGACAGCTTTCCTTAGAGCCTAGTATCACATGGGCAGTGCACATTATCAGAGTTATGTCTTTTGTTTGTATTATGACTGCAGGTATTGCGGTCTATGCAAACATGACTCCTTGTAAAAAGGTGTCAGTTTTGTTGCCAGATAGAAGGGTAAAAAACCAATTATCATATTTTTACTGGCAAATGAGGTTACCATGGTGTAAAGGCTTACCCCGAGCTCTCATACTCTGATGGTGCATTGTCTTTGAGTTCTGCGCCTTTTGGCGTCATCTGGTCCAACCCATGTGAGACTAGGCTCTAAGGAAAGCTGTCTCGGGTGTGGACCAATCAACTTCAAGGACAGTGCACATTATCAGAGTTATGTCTTTTGTTTGTATTATGACTGCAGGTATTGCGGTCTATGCAAACATGACTCCTTGTAAAAAGGTGTCAGTTTTGTTGCCAGATAGAAGGGTAAAAACCAATTATCATATTTTTACTGGCAAATGAGGTTCCCATGATCTATAGACTTGTAAGCTTCCACATGCATGGACCTCAGATTAGCATGGTTGACTACGTATAGTGAAAAATATTCAACATACATACGTACATATTCTGCACAACAGATACTACATTAAAAGTATGTTTGATGTCTATTGCAGCAACATTACATACTACTAAGTAGAATGACGTTTGGCAAGAGATGAATCCAAACACACGCTTCCCCTGCAGTGTCCTTGTGCAGCACTCACCCCTTCTCAGTGCCGTCAGCGGCTCAAGGACCCCTCTACGCAGGGCAGCTGAGGGGTCCTGGACACATGCGCGCAGGCTGAGCAGGCTCTGCAGGTGTGGCTCCCGCAACAGCAGCTCCCGGTACGACACCAGCTGCGGGGCTCGGCACAACAACGCCGCCACACTGTGCACAAACTCTGGCACCAGGCAGGTGTATGTGTTGTCGGCCTGGCAGTAATGGTAGGCCACCACCTGCAATGTAAGGTCAAGTTAAGGACTGATCGGCGAGGTCAAGTATGGGCAAACAACCACCATGAATAACACAGCATGGGAAGGTCTTCATTCAGCAGTGGGCAATGAAAGGTTTTCACATTATTATTGCATTATTATATGACTCCTGCGTCCCATATGCCCCCGGCTCTCACATAAAATGCGTTGCGACATCATTTTATGTCTGTTGAAGGAGAACGATACGGCAATCTATTCCTCTCGACGAGCTCTACACGATGCCCTAATCAAAGTTTCAAAGTTTTGTTTCTTCTGCGCATTCGTTCTGGCTGCGCTTGGACGACATGACAACAGAATGATCCACGCCAGGTGGGTCGCGACGTTAATGTGCGTGGTGGGATGGAGCCGCCAAAAAATAAGTAATTAATTACATTTTTACTTCTGTTTATTCGAGACCCCGGGGTCCCACAATAAGGTTCATATGATCATATTATGCTTGGTTTCCATGCATGTAAAATTACATTCTTCTGCTAATTATACCGGTTGTGCCTCATGTTATACAATAGTTGTGGTAAAAGGCCAAATGCAGAAATGGAAATAAAATATGACGCAGGACAGCTGTGAGTCTGAACACAAGCTTCCCCATTTACCCCGTTCCCTGCAGTCTGCTCGCACGTCACCGACTCCTTCTCGGCAATGCATTCTATTCTAAAATGCCAAAAACAGCAAAAAGGCCTTTTTAAAAATCAAGATAGGGGTAAGACTCAATAGCTTTTAAACATGCTTTTTTAAAGCAAGCTCTAGCTGCACGAGTATACATACACTCTAAAATAAAATAGTTTGTATTTCTCCAAGCAAAACAGTACACCATGTGTTCGGTGTCTACACCCCATGTTTAGCTTGCACGTGTGGCACAGCACCTGAGCTGCAAGTCTTTTCACAGCCTCTTCGGGCCTGCAGCGCAGCTCCGGCGTGTTTGGGCAGCTTCCACGGCTAACTAAGCGCATGCCATCTGTGGTAGGCGGAGGCTGGCCCAGCGGCAGCTCCTTGCTGAGGTGAGGATCTGTGCCAAGAGAGCAAAAGGAAGCCTTTTTTTCAGCAAATTAAATCAGCAGGTCCATTTGACACTGACTATCTGTAACACAAATGATACTATTTGGCCATTGACCCGAAAAATAGAACAATGGAATAAAAAAAATAGAGGCGAAAAAAATGAATTGACACCGAGATGCATCATCACTCACTTTTGTGCTGTAGGCGTGGGCTGTCAGATGCGATCTGCCACATACGTGTGCCGTGGCAGCTAAGGGCCACCATCCGAGACACAATGGCCGTCTTGCCGGTGCCGACTCCCCCGACGATGACAGCCCCCCTGCAGCTGGTGTTCCTATCAGGGCTGGCGCCCGTGCCCCTGGTGCCATCCACGCTGGTGGCCAGCTGCCGTTCGAGCTCGCAGTACAGCCAGTCCCGTCCCACAAACACAGAATCGGTGGTCACGCTCGGCACCTCGAAGAGCAGTGGCTTCAGTGCAATGTCCGGCGGCTTGTATGGCGCAAATCGCACTGCACACCACAAGCAAAAGATTTTAAAACATAACACTGTGTAAAATGTATTTCAACAAAAATGCTAAAACAGGTTTTATTTGTCATTATTTTTTTCATTGTATTTGAATACAAGGCGAGGCAGCTGGGTGGGAATATGTCGACAACAAGTTGGGGCATGCCAGCCTATATTTTCATGAGACATCTTTCGGGTTATGTACACATCTTTCACTTCCAATTCAACATCCACCTTGCTATGTGGTCTCCTAAGTACTGAGCTGGGCCACGGAATGGCAGTCACGACTGTGATATGTTATACTGATGAAGACTATGAACCTCTGTTGCCGAATTTACTCTTTGATTCTTTCGGTAAAGTCACGTAGAAATTTTTTAAATTAAATAATAGCATACGACGTTTCCATTGCAACACAAGCAATCATCACCAGGTACGAATGCATGAGAAAACAAACCTAGTAAACTTAGAAATATAATGCAATACAACACAGAGAGTCGGCTAACATAACAGTCAACACCCTACCTGGTTGATTACGTTCTTCCAAAGATTGCAAAATTTGAGAGAGAGACAAAACACAGACACGGAGACACATAAGCAGAGAGAGATAACACAAAGACACACAGAGAGAGACACACACATAAGGCACACAGAGAAACAATGTTGAGGCCTTAAATAGAGAGAGGGGGGGGGTGGAGAAATTAGCATGGCAATGGGAGATTTGGAGCTTTCGTGACTGCAGGAAATACTAGAGCTACAACACAGAGACAAACAGAGAGAAAAGAAACTTAATAAAACAAAGTTAGTAAAATTTGGAAATATAATGCAATGCAGCACAGAGTCGGTCAACACACAATTAACACATAGCCTGGTTGATTACGTTCTTCCAAAGATTGCTAAATAAGAAGTTAAGTGTGAAATTTGAGAGAGAAACAAAACACAGACACGGAGACACAAAGACAGACACACAAGCAGAGAGAGACAACACAGAGACACACAAAGAGAGAAAACAAACTTAAATCCTCGCCGAGGAGGTGGTTCAAACTTAATTTGGAGCTTTCGTGACTGCAGGAATTACTCTTTGGTTCTTTCGGTAAAGGCACGTAGAAAGAAAAATAAATTAAATAACAGCATACGACGTTTCGATTGCAACACAAGCAATAATCATCAGGTACGAATGAATGATAAAAACAAGCCTAGTAAACTTAGGAATATAATGCAATACAACACAGAGAATCAACTAACATAACAGTCAACACCCTACCTGGTTGATTGTTTATCTGTGTTCCTATGCATGTGTCTCTCTCTGTGTCTCTGTGTTATCTCTCTTTGCTTATGTGTCTATCTATGTGTCTCCGTGTCTGTTTTGTCTCTCTCTCAAATTTAGCAATCTTTGGGAGAATGTAATCAACCAGGTAGGGTGTTGACTGTTATGTTAGCCGACTCTTTGTGTTGTATTGCATTATATTTATAAGATTACTAGGTTTGTTTTCTCATTCATTCGTACCTGATGATGATTGCTTGTGTTGCAATCAAAACGTCGTATGCTGTTATTTCATTAATTTTTATTTCTACGTGACTTTACCGAAAGAACCAAAGAGTAATTCCTGCAGTCACGAAAGCTCCAAATCAACGTCTAATTTATTCAAATAGATGCTGATGTGCCAGAATTGCTGTTGTCGGCTATAGGTTGGTACAAACAGTCCGTGCCACAAATACATATATGTATTTTGAAGTAGATTAAAACACAACACAATTCTGAAACGAATTACCCACTTTGTTCTTGAAATTACACAGACATGTAAGAGGAATGGAAAGAGAGAGCAGCACTTACTTGAGTGGTTTAGCCAGGACTGCACTCTGGGAGCTATAGGCAGAATGCAGGGTAGATGTAGCCATGCAAGGAGAATTAACAGAACATTGTCAAAATGAAAACAACAAATAAAAAACAGGAGAACAGTAAGTATTATGAGTCAGAATTTGTAGATAGGGTTTGAAAAATAAGAGAAACAGTACATATGTAGTATATAATAGATCAGTCAAGCACATTGTGTTTATGTGAAATGTAAGCAGTTTATTGTAGAACAATATTATTTACAAAAACATATTCTAAGATATACATTCCCACAGAATTGGAATTGTGAATAAAATATGTATTTATATTTATTTTTGAGCAAGCAGTTAACATTCTATGCCTCTTAACAGTGCCTGATATTTTAACAAGTCGTTTGTTTTTCAGGATGGCATATGCAACACAAGTGGGCCGAGTTTCCAATCTGAGCTCAGCATTTGGTTGCTTTGTGGTGCTCATGATTTGTAAAACAAGCTTTTATTCTGGGCGCATCCGTCAGCACCCGTGCCACCTGCCACGCGTGAGGTCCTGCCACTGCGTGGTTCAGCTCTGTGCGGCTCAGCTCTGCGCGCTGAAAGCCCGATCTGGTTAAATAATTCATAACACGGCTCTTATTTCTCAATGCAAACGTTGAAGAGATCTTTTGTTTCAAACGCACATTGAAGTACATTTTTTATTCATAGCACTTTCAACAAACTAGGTTATCTTTTTGATTTATATTTATTTTCATTATGGTATTTTTGATATATAAAATGTATTTCATAAAAATAAATTGGGCCCCAAATTATAGTCGTACATTGAAAAGAAGAGCATATATTACAGAATCCATGACAGAAATCCCAATTATTTAGTTATACCCAATTATACTCCCTAATGTTAAAGAAAATACGATGTGGTACAAACACTAATTTTTTTTCTTATCTACTGCTAATTGTATTCTTTTGTCAAGGAAAAACTATGTAATTATTTTATATTCTCAACAATATGATTTGAAGCTTTCGTGACTGCAAGAATCCATACTCTTTGGTTCTTGTAAAGTTATATATGTGGCCCATCGCCACATATATAACCTTGTTGTAACAGCTCTCTCGCTGGTTCAGCAGTTCCACTCCTGGGTTATTTTTTCCGCCTGAGGACGACCACTTGTGTTGCGATCGAAATGTCGCGATATATTATTTTTATTTTGTTATATTTTTCTACCTACGTGACTTTACCGAAAGAACCAAAGAGTATTCTCAACAATAGCTAATAAAATAATGTTCCCGGAATGTTTGCTTGTTGGTTCCAACAGCCAGTCTACACATATAGGGGGAGAAACTTTTCCGAAAACATTTTTGCTGACAACAAAGTTTTTTGTCCAAGTCGCTTTGTTCATCATGGGCTGTAACACTGGAATGAAAGTTAGGTGTGTACTTACAACACAACTTTGTTCAAACTCCCCTCAAAATGTTTCTTATTGCATGTGCAACAGTGATATGATTGGCCGACTGTTTTGATATTTTGGCAAGGCAATGAAAAGGCAAACATTCAAGCATGGTGGATTTTAGGTATGTGCAATAGCATTAAGATGTATCATGTATAAAGCCTACGTGTTAAACTGGATTAATCCTCTTTTTAATGGACAAAAGATAGCTCAGCTTTTGTAAATATACTGACATGTTCCCAATTTTCCCTTATCTATTATATACAAAGCGAAACACTGTGTGTTATATTATTAGGCATCACAGCCGCATTTCCATTCCTAGATACCCTGCCAAGTTTGGGTGATCTCTCTCGGTCAAGCATGCAGGCAAGAGGAGTGGGTGTGGGTGTTAGGCCTCTCATAGTGTAAATGCTTACCCCGAGCTCTCAATACTCTGATATTGCACTGTGTTTGAGTTGTACGCCTTCTGGTGTCATCTGGTCCAACACCAATGGGGACTAGGCTCTAATGAAAGCCGTCTCGGGTGTGGACCAATCAACTTCAAGGACAGTGCATATTATTATCATTATCAGAGTTGCTTCTTTTTGTTTGCTTGTTTGACTACTTGTGTTGTGGTTATTGCAAACATGATGCCTTGAATAAAGGTGTCAGTTTTGTACCAGTTTAAAAGGGTAAAAACCTACTACTATATTTTGCCACTGGTAAAAGAGATCTCATAGAGGAACAGCGAAGTTGTAACGTGGCCAACATTTTAAGTGTGCAACAAAGTTATGTACAGGAATGTTGCTGTCTGTTTAACTTCTGATTGCTATGCACACGTCAATCTCATTACCAGCTCAAATGTGATTAACTGAGATAATTACGATGTAAAATACGTGTTCCTTTTGCTTGCATTTTCTCCTAACATTCCATCACATTAGTGTGTAGCTACAAGATGATATCTCTTCCAAAACATGCTACTTACAAGTGTTTATACTGCCAGTGATTGTTCTCATTAATTTAATTTACTGTAATTAAATATATCTTCAGTCATAATGACTTCATTTGTTTACACTGTCCAATACGTTCTCTGAAAACTAGCAATGGAACATAAACAAGCTGGTATCGCCATGATTCCCCCAATAATGTGTTTAATAGTTTCCACAAAGAATTTAAACGCAACTAACAACACATTAAATACATTGGCACGGGTAAAGGTATTTTAAAAATGTATTAACGAAACTTAAAAATGTTCAACTCCACACTCGCCCACTGTAATATCCTAAACATCGTGTTTCACTTTTGAAAATCATGTTCACAGTTGACATGATGATGCACACCTATTAAGGAAACCCCAAGTCATGACTTAGGTATTGGGCCTACACCAACAACAATGGGTTAACAGTTGATCCAAGTACCTAATAGTAAAAAAAAAACCTGTAAACTTAACTAAATTACGAGTAAGCTCCTGACAAGTATGACAGTTCAATCAGATACCTAGAAAGAGATTACAATACCTTTGTAAATATGCTCCAGGCTACACATATATATTTTTTGTGCAAAACTCCTGGCAAAGTAAAGCACAAGGTGGACGAGGACGTTACAATGTTTTGGCAGAATGACAAGAATTCAGAGGCGGCAGTCTCTCCCTGAACAAACCAAAAATAGTCCCACATACATCCTCTCATCACCCAGCTGTGCCAGTGCATATGAACGCTTATTACCATGATGCACACAGAAGGGATTGGGAAAAGACATCTTCTAAAATATCAACTTTAGCGATAGTTTGTGCAAACACAGCATGGATAACGATATGCAGTATTGTAATCTGAAGATGACTTTTCGTCACAACTGACCTACCTTCATATCTACAACCAAACTATACATAACATATATGTTGATAGACAGAAGTACTGATAACACTAACAATGTGTTCTTTTAAGCACTGCATTAGGCAGAAATTCCATAAATGCCATATGGCTACAGTGGCTGAATATGGCTTTGCAAACATCAGTGCAGTGGAACTAAGTCTGCGAATAATAATGTAGCAGAGCCTGGCAAACAAGACATTAGCAATAAAGCAAAGGGGCAGAATTATTCCAGCCACTCACCTCTGTGGTCAGGCTGCGGGCGGCCAGGCGCCAGATGCTGCCGTGGCATCCTCATAGATGTGCGGAGGGGAACTCCACGCTGCTCATCCAGGAAGCTCAGGTCCTCCAGCCGCGCAGAGCTTGTGGCTGGCAGCACAGACAAGGGCCCCTTACCAAGTGGTGAACACTTCTCATGTAGGGGAAATAAAACGCCAAAGTTTGAAAAAGGGGAAGTTGCAAACCACGGCTCATTGAGCAAAAATCCAAATATAAATGTTGTGCTCTGTAGAAATGAAGATTATCTCAGTGTCATTTTCTAAAGGATATTGATTTTATAGAGCTGCTGCACGTTAATATAATCTAATGCCAGTTTTTTTTGTAAATATGGTATCTATGTATATATGTTCCTAGCAACGATGGGAACAAGATAATACCACCTGAACACATCAACTTGGCAAAAATATCTGCATGGATTTTTATGTGATGCTGCATTTCCACATTTTAGGCGATACACTATTTTCATCACCGAATGTTTTACACCTAGTTCAAAACTGTGTTGCATACTAACTTCATGCTATTCACCATGTGGAGTACATTTTTTTAAGTACAGTACTACAATATAGAGTATAAAATAAGTTATGCCAAGATTTGTCCAGGATTATACTTGAATGAGAAAATATGAAAATAAATTTTTACTTAAATAATTACTTTCCAGTAAAGTTGTAGAGGCTTTACACATTTATAACTGCCACACAACTGTATGAAAGCTACCAGCTTCTCTGAAGTCTAAAGGTCACCCCTCTCGAAGCTAACATTTTCATGAACATTGTAATTACAATTTGACCACGGACATCACTGTTCCACTAAAACCTGATCCATAAATGTCCCTTCCACCAAATGGTCCATTCTTCAATGGCATCGTATTCATGCGAAGCAGTTAATAACAATATTTTTTTTCTAGTACACAATCGCGAGCGGAAAACAACACTTGAGCTACACGTAGCACCCACTGAACATGCCCAAACATTTTACTTTTTACACACCACGCTTCCATCTCTATCGTTCCTTCCCGCTCCCTAAAAATAGTTCGCTCAGCTGTGGTTCCACCTCACGCCAAGACCGAGACCACACCGAGTGCTAAAGGGTTTGCAGCTGCCACGTACGGCGGCACCGAGTTTAACTGTACCATGCTTCAGGGGAACTAAAACACAAACAAATCTGTCTGCACAGATGACCGCGTCCTACTTGCTCGCCGTCAACCAAAGAAGGATTTCAGCACAACAAGACCGCACAAAGCATCGCTGACCGCAAACACGCAAGAGTCCAGCTTACCCAAGTTACTTCCAAGTCCCAGGGAAGACCCAGAAAGCAATATCCACCAGATGACATCACCACATGACTTACATGCTTCATGCTGAGAGGGTAAGCCATGTGTCAAACAAGGGACGCTTGCATACAAATTCTCACGTTACTGTAATAAGACAAAAGGCTCACAAAGTTGCAGCTCATGTTTCTTTCAAAAATCCAACTTCCTGTGCCAGCCACAATTATCTGGCGACCCTGTAGACATTTTGCCTGCCTGTGTACAAGCAGTAACAAGCTTTGTGTCCAGAGATCTCTTCCACCCCCACCCCTTGCTCAAAAGAAGGAAGTTGAGTTTCTGGGTAGATGTGGGGAGGGGGGGAAGGGGAAATCGCGAGGCTAAAAAAAATAGGAAGGTAGGGGGGAGCTATAGAGGCAGGCGGAGTTTAAATGCTCGAAGACTTCCTACAGTACATCAACTTGGCAGCTCTCGTGTAACGTACGTAATTTAGCCATTTAGCCAACACTCAGGAGTCCCATAACTAAAATGACATTCCAGAAGCGGTCATTTGGTGGCTCTTCTCAGATTGACACTAAGGGTTGAAGAATTGTATGTAAACTGCTCAACATCGTGTTTGTTCTGACACGTCAGATTTATTCCACTTTCGTCTGTTGCACAAAAAGAACGAGGTACAACTTAAAATTATAGTACAATTTCCGATGGCATGAAAGCTTTTATTTAAAAAATGTATTCTTCTATTTATGCCACATGACCCCGTCAAACCAGAGGAAGCCATTTTTCATATGAACTGCAGGAGGAGCTGTGAAATTCTCAACTGTACGATTTTACGCAAAAATAAGTTTTCTTCAAGATTACAATTCCCTTGCATTCAATTATGTGGTAGTGGCATCGACATTCAAAGATATATGGAAAGTCGGGGTGTAAAACCTTCAAAAATACCTACGTGACTTTACCGAAAAAAACAAAAGAGTACCTTCAAAAATGCCATTACGCATTACCACACTCCCTAGCTGACACCACACAGGCATTGTGAAACGACAGACTTCACAAACTTGAGAGCTGGTTGGTGCTGAGGCGAGGGGAATTCAAAAGGTCACTGTGATACAACAGGCCACTAAGAAATATCTACTCTTTTATGAAATGTTCACCAAAAATAAGAATCAGAGAACAGCATGTATATTATATGTCGTTGTCTTCAATTTTGTTGTTTGGGCTGGTTTAAACCGATGTTCCCTTTGTGAAACAGATACTGTCGAGTACAGTATTGCAGCTCAGCGGGTGCTCATCATTTTTTTAAACAAAGCAACCGATTGATGGAAGCAGAAGACCAATGAAAAATACAATGTACTTCAATGAAAAATACACTGTGCTGCAGTTAAGTTGCTCAACCCCAGAGGTGTGGACTCGAGTCATGTGACTTGGACTCGAGTCAGACTCGAGTCATGAATTTGATGACTTCAGACTCGACTTGGACTTGCATAACAATGACTTTGTCCCACCTCTGAGGTGTGGACTCGAGTCATGTGACTTGGACTCGAGTCAGACTCGAGTCATGAATTTGATGACTTCAGACTCGACTTGGACTTGCATAACAATGACTTTGTCCCACCTCTGCTCAACCCCCACCCCTTGTATGTGTAATTGTTGAAACAGATAATTTTTAAGATTCCTTATAATTTGCAGCCCATTGTCAATCTATGGAGGCCTCCCCACATTGCAGTGGTCATGCGGGGGGCTACTTTGACCATACTTTACATCGGTCAGTGTAGGTTGGTAAAGGTGGGGGTACCAGGACTAGTTCAGATATCACTCACCACTGATGTTATGTGGCTGGGAATGGAACTCAGGTCGCTGGACTTATAGAGAAGGCGAACCAACTGCACCACCACTCCACTGCATTCTATTACATGTTAGTGTATGGTGGTATGGTGACATAATTCGTATTTTTTAAATAACATACAGTTATGAAATAATAAGATAATCATTTTACTGATAAATACGGATGTTATCTATGAAATTAATATTCATATTGAATGTAATATGGAACTCCTATCCACACTGGAGTGGGGGAAATGGAGAGAAAAGCTCTCGTCCTAATACCTATCAAAATAACTCCTCTAATCCACTAAATTGTGGCGAAATGCAGATGACCAGATTATTTTGTCCATAAGACTCCCTCATGTGCAACATTCAGGGACAATAGGATGCACAAAGCACCCACTGGTGATCTGTTCCAGGTGATTCCTGTCGTAAAATATTCACGGATCCATCAGAGGTCTTGTGTGGTGATGTCGTGCAGCATGCTGAACCTCACGGCTGTGGCAGCAGCATCAGCAGTAACGAGACCGTGACAAAAATGGTATCGTCAATCATCATATTCATCTCTTCATCAATGTATATCCCTTGCTGAATGAAGGCCTCCCAGTGCTATCACCATCCTTCACAATCCTGTGATGCCACAATCCATATATTTCCTGCTACACATGAGCTGATCTCGTTGCTCTTTGTCTGTGGCAATTGGCCTCTCAGGTGGAGTCTATCTCCTCTCCTCTGGCTGCCACTATCACAGGCGTCATCCACGTGCAAAGCGACCAGGCGCACCACGCGGAAAGCAGCTAGACAGGATTGATCAATGACACTCAATTCATTAAACTCCCAAAATCTGATGGCGAGGAAATGGCAGTTCAGCAAGTGGGCACTGCAACTTCTCTGTAGGGACCTTTAAATTGTATTGCTCTGTATTGTGTGGGTTTTTCCTGGTTTCCTCCCACGTGAAAAACACTTAATAAAATGTAATTGGCTAAACATTCCAGATCTGGACCCCCAGAAAAATAATCTTGAGACTCAGTCATTCCCAACAACAGCGCGGTGATGTTTAGCATCGCAATCATCATCAGTAGTAACAGCATGATGTCACATCATCATTACTATCGGCGTCGTCAACAGCAACAGCGACACCAACAGCAGAAGAACCACTGTTGGCATTTTCATCATCCACATAATTATCTTTTTCACAAATACAGATGACTATGACGAATTTAGCATTCACAAAGACCACTTCGAGGTGACACGCATTTTGCACAATGTCAAACATTAGGAATAATTACCCGAGGATCATGAGTTGCCATGGAATAATATGGACCGATGTATGAGAGGATGCATGGATAAGAGGGTCATGGAAAAGTGTTTCATTGTCCATGGATGTTCAATGTACTTTAAAGAAAGTTAATGCATATGCATGGAAAGTCTAAAAACAAATTTTGTGCTATATCTCCGGCTTTTAAAACATTAAACATTTTCCGTGACATTTATCCAGGTTTAGATTAGTTAAATACATGTGCATATTTCACCTAAAATTACATTTCCTCTTGAGCCACACAACCGTTTTCACCATAAACCACTGTTTGCATTTTTTGCCAAGACAGCATATTCAGATTGAACCTTGAAATTGGCCTCAGCTCCATGCACAAGGAATGTAGTCCTGGCTTACAGATAAAACAATTAACTTTATCTTAGTCACTTATGACTTCATTACTTAACAATTTGGGTGTGCATGAATGAAGTATACACACAGTAACTACAATATTTCTTACGTCTTTCATACAATTACATAAATGCTTGTATACACACTGTTTTCTCCATGAAAGACTATTCATATACAGCACCACAACAGCATGCTCATGACAGTTTGGCTGCGAAGTACGCTTGGGGGATTGGAAGTGGGCAGTGTGTGAAGGGGGTGAGAGATGTGCTAAAAAAAACTTTACAAAATGGCAAGAGTCACAGAGTATCTCTCAGGATAAGTGGGAATACAATATCCACTTGCGCAAGCATAACAGCAAGCATGCGTGAATCAAATATCACCTTCTGATCTTGAGAGTTTGGAACAAATTTGTGCAAACATTGGCAAACGTGAATAATGTAAAGGCCTGAACAAAATCCATTTTCATTAATATTTCATGCCATTCAAAAGTGTATAAAAACCTGCTGGAGTGGCTTCATCTTTATAAAACATATTCTCCTTGAAAATTAGATATATATAGTGTTTAGCCCAAAAGGAAGATGTAGTTCACGCACTGTTTATTGCCGAATGGCACAGATTTTTTTTATCAAACTGATCGGCTACTGATTGTTATAATCAGAAAATGTTATGATTATCTGTGTTGTCCATCAATCTATAGAAACGTAAAAAAAAATCACAAAAACGTCTCCAACCGTTGAGACTTGCCACAATTCACCAGTACAAATGCCCACATCTCTAGAGCGAGAACATAATTGGATATGAAATTACATTTTAAAATGTATTTACTATAAAAATTAATGTTCACGCTGCACTGCAGCACAATTACCACGCAAGTGTTACAAGCGTTGTGGTGTAAGCACGTGTGCAGATTACATGCTACAAATCTGTGTGAGTGGGTGTATTCGCATGCATCAGAACGTGGGTGGTTGAGTGTTAAGTGCGCACGACTATTATAACGTGTTGGTCGTTTGTGCTTTTTCATATTTCTGTGCCGAGTTCTTTATACGGTTGGATCCCTAACAAAAATGGAGCTCCCTTACTAGGCTGGTTTGCTAGGTTTTTAAAAAAATACGTAGTTTTCTTTGAGAACCAAGATACAATTCTGTAGTCATCCATGTCAAAGGCATGATCTAAAACGTTCAATTTACAATATAATTGTATCACTTTGTAATATTAAAGGTGCAGCCCTGAAATTGCTTGCTCATGCCACTAGTGGCAGAAGGGACTCCCTTAGACAGAGTCTAGAAAGCCCTTTGAAGGGAATTTGGCCTACTCTTCCACACTGATTAGACATTTTGAAAGGGATGGGAATACCCACACTTTATCCCACAGCAATTTGCTAATTTATGAACCTTGATGTACTATTGTTTCCACAACAGGTGGTCAAACTTAACCGGCGACCTCTGGATTCCAAGTCTCATGTGCTAACAATCACACTGTGGCAGTATTCCATCAATTCAAAATTCAGAAAAATACTTAAGTACTGTATTATATTTCTGCATAAAAAATAAAATATTTGTAAAAAATAGACACAGGAATCAAATATGTACAGTATTAGCATGAGTTTGAATGTTATTAAATCACTACACAACCATAGGAATGCCTGGAAATAGAATAATACTGTCCCTGTTGTTATTTTCATGGCCATCGGCTGTGACCATAAGCTGTACTGTTGTAAATATGTATTCCACGACAGGACTCTTTCAAAATAACAGATGATCTCTGGAGGCGTGGGATGAGACGGAGACATATGTAATGTCAGATTTGGAGATTTACCTAAATCAAGATCCAAAGAAAAAACAAAACCTAACCAAATGAACTTTCCCCAGACACATAACTTTGGTAAAAATGTTATAGAAAACATTGTTAGATTAATGGGTTTGCCTCACTTATAAAGAAGCTCTCATATATTACATTACTCGATGCTTGCCGTTTAACTGATTACTGAAGCAGTCCCTGTTTATAAACAGATTCCTTTCAATCTAGATTTGAAGCATTCGTGACTGCAGGAATCCATACTCTTTGGTTCTTTTGGTGAAGTCACGTAGGTATAATATATATATACCTACGTGACTTTACCGAAAGAACCAAGGAGTATAGATTGCTTTCACTTTACATGCCTACAAGGGTGCTTTGTCTGTTTGATTTACTCCTGTCAGAATTCTAAATGACAAAACTTGCCAGTCAATAGTGTTTACCGAATCCACCAATTTGAAAAATCCTCAAAATTTCGAGATAAAGCTTTCGTGACTGCAGGGATTCATCTTCTTGGTTCTTTCGGTAAAGTCACGTAGAAGGGAAATAATAAAATAATAAAAATAAAACATAATAAAATACAATTCTCACGACGTTTCGGCCACAACGCAAGCAGCTGTCCTCAGGTGAAGAACAGGTCTGTCGGAAAGACAGCGTCAGACGGAAAGACAGCGTCAGACGGAAAGACAGCGTCAGATGCTGTCTTTCCGACAGACCTGTTCTTCACCTGAGGACGGCTGCTTGCGTTGTGGCCGAAACGTCGTGAGAATTGTATTTTATTATGTTTTATTTATTATTTCCCTTCTACGTGACTTTACCGAAAGAACCAAGAAGATAAATCCCTCAAAGTTAAGACAGTATCATATTTTAATCACCCTCCCATTAAATGCTGCTGTACACATGTTCCACATATGCTCCAGATCCCGTTTGTGTCATCTTTCAATTCCTGGAACAAATGTTTTGTAACCTCAAAATATGGGACTGCCCAAGAAGCGCTGGTTCCTGTCCTGCCAAGGCATGGTGTTACCAGAGCCAGCAGTCGATGCTCAACACTTAGGCAGAACACGCTGCTACTGCTGCTAGTTTTGTTCCTCAGGAGACATTCCTGTTGCCCATGAGGCACTGGCTCAACGCGACAGGGCTGGAGAGCCACCATGTGGCCATGGCCCCTGACGAATGTCAGTTGGTGTGACACCCCCACCACCGCGATTTCTTCGCAGCCAATGGCCGAAAAGCCTCGATTAGATCATTAGTTCTCAAGTTTCCCCAAAGTACACTGGTTAGAGCATTGAATATAAAAAAAATATTATTTACTACATAAGCTATGGTGTTTCAAATAATCTACACTGTGTACGTACGTACAGGACAAGATTATCCAGGTAAGTATTTTGGTAAATAATGTATATTTGTTTTTATTGTAATTTATTTAGTTTCTGAAGGAGTTCGTTAGACTGTATAATACATTTGTTCAATCATTGTTTAAAAACAGTGGGGCTCGGTCTATAATGCAATACAGAAGAGTAAAAGAAAACAAGTGTTCATATTTTACACTATGTTTTCACAAACGTAATAATACACACATTATCATAAAGGTGTTATATATAGAATAGTGTATATATTTATATCACCTTTTTTTCAAATACACTGCTACTTTCTAATTACTTTTAAATCAAAGTTAGATTTGGTTTGTCAAAATGTCAGATAACCTCAACACACACTGTCAATACTGTATAAATTGCCACTTCAAGAATTCAATACAAATTCTCTTGTATGATGCAAGTCAAGTGCGCACTGCATATGGCCAATGCAAAGTCCCTGAGGGTTTTTACTGTGTACACTGACAACCTCCACTTTGTTAATAATCAAAAAAAATCATGAGCTGCACCTGTCACCCAACCCTTTCCGAGGTCCAAAGTTCCTGTCCCCTCTTCAATCCGTGCTGCTATGTATTGAACATTTCTACATACGCAGAGGCACACTGTTTGTCCATCTTACCGCCCTGGCAGCTTTTCAAACCCAACAGGTCTGACAGCAAACACGACCACGTAAAACTTTTCTGACATTACACCACTGCATGTAACCTATTTTAACACAGAGTATAACCTTTTTTTGACGGATACAATGCCTGTCCCGTACACTGTTTTCATAAATACACTCCACTTACCAGTGTCAAGCTGAAATTCATCCCAGGCTACCGCATCGCACACTACACCCAGGATGTAAAGCTTCGAAATGAAACGTGCCCTTTAACCGGTCTTGCTTAACATAGCAGCAGTTGGTGCTTTTACTGTAGATGGTAATCAATTCCCAGCACCCAATGACTTGCTGTTACAATACTAACTCTCAGCGTAGCCAATGGAAAACAATTATTTCATTATTTCACTCCCTAACCACAGTTACGATTTGCATTTGCTGCACAATGCATCACGTATATTTATAAATTACAAAGGTCATCAGCTCCACATGAACACATTATAATTTATACTCTGGTTTTATAAATTTCACGTAACTAAAGTCGTAGGATGGCATTTGTAGTACTGTACTGAATTTTCATTCCTGAACAAAATTTATACTGAAACTCAATTTATATATTTTTTCAATGATACAATAATTTTAATTATTATTAATATAGTGACAAATTATATCGTTTCCCTGTGGTGTTGAAAGTCAGTTATACATATTTTACATCGTAAGTTTATTGCCTTTTCCTGTTTTTTTTCAGTTACTCAAACGAATACACATGAACTATCTCAATAGAGAAAGTTATGTTAAAGTCGAACGTAGCTCTATTCAGTATCTTATCATATCAACAACTTCCGTATTCATAAACGAGGAATTCAGGCAATACACAGATTATGCCACAATGTGTTGAACGCGACCATTAATAGTTAAACAAGAATGGGTGGTGGGGTGTTTGCATGGGATGTTGGAAGCCGCAGTGTAAACACGACATAGTATCAACAACTCTATAATTTAATCTTGATTTAAAGCTTTCGTGACTGCAGGAATCCATACCTACGTGACTTTACCGAAAGAACCAAAAAACTGTATAATTTGTTTAACATTTATTATTTACCTTTTCCTTTTATCAGAAGAATTATCAACGTTGCAAGATACGTTTCGTCAGTGTGTGCTGATGAAGACCAAAAGAGGAAATACTCGATCACTCAACTTTACCCTTAATCTCATGACAGACCGTCCCATTGTTTAGTGTTGGGCAGCGTGTCCACCACATTATTTGAGATTTTGGCTCGTACCTGCCACCGAGTTGGGCCGAGGTGTCAGGTAGGTGGGGATGGAGTAGGTAGAATGCGACGGGAAGATGTCCAAACCCCTTTCCGTGCTGCGGCTCAGGCTAAAGGATGCACTGGAATGCAGCTCGTCCGCACCCGGCATCCCGTACACCCGGAGCGCACGCGTAGGGGCCATTGGCGGACGATCCGCCAACACAGACGCGTCCAGGGAAGTGAAGGAGGATCCATGGAGTGTGTAGCAACGGGCGTGGTCTCCCAGATATGGATCCCGTTGTTTGGAGAGGACCAAACGACGGTTAATGTGCTGATCATTCCGTCGGCCCGAGAAGCCAAGTATCTGAGATAAGCCTGCTTGATCAGAGCACCCATCAGAACGATCGCCTGTAAATGAATCAATCTCATATGGCTCCAGTTGGGTGGCAGAACGCTTAAAATGGTCCCCAAGAAAAGCACATCGGTGAGAGGGCTCTGCTGGGATATGGCAGGAGGCCTCGTTGAGCTCTTCAGGTCGACTGCTGTCGGACGGGTCGTCTGGTGGGCTGCTCTCCTCAATCTGATCCAAGCTGCAGCCACCGCGCTCCATGTAAGCACTAGACCTTGTAATTGTAGCTGCCCCACAGGAAACAATTGCAGACAGGAGACACTTTTCAAGCAAGTCATATATTTTTCATGAGCATTTAAAAGGCACAAGGCTTGCTGTTGGTAAGGTAAGAAGATCCAGCTTGGAATTTATAACAATCCGTACTGCCAAATTTAATTAAATATAAAGCTGAACTTAATTTGTGCCTATGTCATTCGTGTATCATTATTATTAACTAAAACGTGAATAATCATACAATGTAACAAATCAATACATATTTCTAACTAAAACTCCACTAAAATAAACGTAAGATTCGTACATTCGAACACATTATCTGTAAGATTTTGAATGGAAAAAACTGGCTTAAAAAACTTGTTTTGCACACTTCAACAGTTACCAACACACACCGTTGCCGATATACCACTGTATCCTGTTTGTTATCAGCAAGCAATCTGGCAAAAAGGCTGCCGCAGCAAGCAGTGACCAACACACTTAAACCAATGAGTGCTGGCCGTGCAAACATCTTATCATGCTTTCCAGACCTAGGACCAGAGGACGTGTTGAATACGCACTCTCTGCCCCCCCCCCCCTTCACTTCACACGCTATTATTTGCATACAGCTTAATACACTTAATAGGTATAACAGGATCTAATTTAATCTTTGTTTAATCAGTCCTCATTGTCCCATTAATCAAGGTAGCCTACTCTATACCATTTGCACACAGTCCCTCATCAATACCCTTACAAGTAGCTTATATAACCATTTCAACCGTTTTATCAATTAGTGCTGCATTTAATATGGACCATTTGAGTTAAAACCTTTTTCACACTGCTCTACATCACCACAAAATTGCTTTCAAATTCCATTATGACTTCCCATAGTTAATTTATATAGTTAACTTACAGCCTCTTTTGTCAATCCACTGTTGGATCAAGGCCTCCACACACCATGTTGGTCATGGGAGATATTTTACCGTTTCATCACACTGGTCAGTGCGGGTTGGTGAAGGGGTTGTAGGAGGGGGGCAGGACAGGTTCAGTTATCACATCGCCACTGATGTTGGCCATGGCTAGGAATCGAACCCAGGTCTCTGGGTTTGCCACTACTCCACCTATCCATTTCCTATATGTTCTTAAACTAATGTTACTTTTGTTGGTGACCATTTGTAAAAGCCATGAAACTTATAATGCTCCAGTTTTAGTTTTTGTGAGTATCTAAAATATTGCAAAATTTTGTATCTACAATAAAATATCTATAACAATGGATTGCAACCTTTTTTGGGTACTGTGCCACTTGCTGAATTTTGTTTTAACTGAGCACCCCTTGCCTGACCCAACATGTTTCTGAGAAATAAATGTATGAATGAATAATGAACATCAATAATTTGACCAATTGTCCATTTTGTGAGGAATCCTAACGAGCTAGTAACTGCAATTATTCAAAGGACGCAGTGCATGAATGATGTAATTTGTTCGCGCTCGCTGGTTAATCTTGGAAACAACATTGTTTACGATCAATGAAAGAAAGGTCTTTTTTATATTATTCGAGGTTACCAAATGGATACAAATGTTATCGTAGTTATTTTATATTGGCAGATTCATACATGAGTATTCACCAATGACTCATGTATGATAACATTTCACATTTATAAATCACCTCACGTACCCCTGGGACATTGCCACATACCCCCAGGGATATGCATACCCCTGGTTGAGAACCACTGCTCTACAATGCGTTGTAATCACATAGACATGTCACAGATATAATTTACCTACACTGCGAGTTGCAAGCAATGTTTTTACTGAGTGGTACCCACCCAGAATAAATTACAGCCAAATCTGTCAGTGATAGAAAGGTTTCCATCGCTGATGTGATAATGTGTGTTCATAAACGCGTAACAATAAACTCCCTCCATCATTCAATAAAATGTTGTGATCCAGTCATGATTTGATTCGTGAACCAATTAAATTTTTGACATTATGGTGAATGTATTGGCTTCAGGGATCGAGTGAACCTATCATGTACAACATATACAAATAGAAAAACATCGATTCTTATATATGATTCGATACACGTAGCATGAGATTTAGAATCAAATGAATCGATCATTTGATACATTTTTACTTCGCATTGTCCACACTCAAAGCTCATTTGAGTGGCACCCACCATCTACTATGGTGTTTCTGTGCTAGTGGAGGAAATACAACTCATAGCAGGGAACATTTTGTTAGAATAAGATAACCACTGATATCTTGTATTACAATAAATATTAGGTCCTGAATCAACAGAGATTTGTAATTGTGATCTTCTTCTCTTTGTGAGTCAGGCACCGTCATACACTGAACTGGTCAGATATATTGCATTCATGTCTGCGGTACATCAATGTAGATTGACAATGGCTGTAGATGACGCTATGCTGCACCTGCAAAAACAAAACCAATATAAAAATAGTAAATGGGGCTCATGCAGCCATGATGGCTTTCTGTGGCCACAAGTTTGGAGAGGCAAGACCAGCTACTGCCTGCCTTACCAGTAGTGCTGCTGCGTGTTGAAATGTGAGTAGCCCCTGGTGATGTGGAGCGTCTTACCAATGATTCCGCTGTCCTTGCTCTCAAGAGTAGAGCTGGGAGTGGGGACGAGGCCGTAGGGACAGGAGCGTGTGAGGGGGGGGCCGCCCCTGGTGGATGGCCCAGCGAGTGTGGAGCACGGGCTTGAAGTGTGCGGAGAAGCCGAGCTGCTGGTCAATGTGGAAGAAGGGCTGATTCCCTGCTCCATTGCACACAGCTAGTGAAAAAAATAGGAAACATATGTAAAAAGTACATCTACAAATATCTACATTTTTTTCCCATGCACATGTCGGCCAGCTTTTATTCGTGGCTAAATAAATTGCTAGGAAATATGACTCTGACCTTCAACAGATTTGTCCAATTCCCCATGTCAAGTGTGACTGGTAATGCACTTATACAGTGTATGTATGCTATGCTACACAGATTGACATTACTGGCCACACCTGGTATTCTATTTTGCCAAGTCCACATAATGACACTGAACTGTGTTCCATGTAACCCTTGCATCTGGTAGTGCCACTCCTCCCCAATATCCATTCGGCAAAGAAGAAACGACAGAGGCTTTATTTTATACTTTATACATTCACTCCAATGCGATTACTGTATCCTGAGGTCAAATAATGACGAACCCTAACCTCCGTCTCATGGATGATACTTGTCACAAAGGACATACACATATACATAGTTAAACCGGCCAATTTTACAATGGAGTGCAATCACATGAATTCTGATGGTTTACAAAACATGTAATATAACATGAGTAGTCCGTGTGTTCACAGAGAGCACAACTCATGCACCTCTTAACTAAGAAATGGCACATGACCATAACTTATGAGCGAGAAGTGCATTTAAACAGTCATAGATATGGATAAAACAGAAGCCATCTTAACATGTGAAAGACACTCTCCAGCAACATACATTGCGTCACATATCTGACTTTCTAGGGAATAAGGTATAAGTGGATGGGAGGTGGTTTGATTTGTGAATATTTATAGAAATTATGGTCACAATGCACAATACTACACTGGGTGTTAGCACTTGATTGGTCACTGTGGACATGGGATGGTTGAATATGCAACATTGCACTTTACTGAAAAGTTGTACACGACAGAATGTAAATGTGAAATACAATAGCTCTTTTGTAAAATGAGAAAAAAAGTAACTTTACTTTGGTGATACTCAACAACTGGAAAAGAACAGTAAAGGCAGTGGATCTGCCCAGCAGCAGACCTTTTGGTTCCTTCTGTCATCAGTGTGCAGCTGTAAAGAGCCAGAATTGGAGGTGAGGACCCTGTCTCCCAGGAGGAAGCCCAAGCGTGTCATCAGGGCATGTGCAGTTTCATCGCTGCAAGGAGCTGGGCCAAGTGCCTTCGTAGAGCCTGTGAGCCAGTTGGCGCATACACAAAATGGTCAGCTACACGAAAGGAATGGCACCATTATAATAGCCCAGGACATAGCCATACACTGACAAAACAAACCATCATGCATTCAAATACAAAACGCAAAACATTACATAACTGGATTCGAAGCTTCCGTGACTGCAGGAATAACTCTTTGGTTCTTTCGGTAAAGAAATTTAATTAAATAATAGTAAAATACGACGTTTCGATTACAAACAACAGGCAACCATCATCAGGTACAAATGATTGAGAAAACAAACATAGTAAACTTGGAAATATCAACCAGGTGGGGTGTTGACAGTTGTGTTGGCCGACTCTCTGTATTGTATTGCATTATATTTCCAAGTTTACTATGTTTGTTTTCTCATTCATTTGTACCTGATGATGGTTGCTTGTGTTGCAATCGAATCGTCGTATTCTATTATTATTTTATTTTATTTATTTCTATGTGACTTTACCGAAAGAACCAAAGAGTAATTACTGCAGTCACGAAAGCTTCGAATCTAGTTTGAACCACCTCTACGTGGATGGTTTTCCGTGCTTGTTTGTTTCACACTTAACTTCTAATTTAGAAATCTTTGGAAGAACGTAATCAACCAGGCTATGCGCTAACTGTATTCTAACCGACTCTCTGTGTTGCATTGCATTACACTTCCTAATTTTACTAAATTTGCTTTCTACCGTGCTTGTTTATAAGTCCATTCTCTCGTCCGGCCGCTATGGGCAGGAATTCCACACAACGCTCCGTGCTTGTTTGTTTAGAAGTCCAGTGTCCAGCTCGTCCATCCGCTATGAGCAGGAATTCCACACAACTCCCCCTCTGCCCCAACCCCCACCCCTCTCTCTATTTGTAATGCGAGCAAGGAAAGGGTGGGCGCTGGCTCCGCACCACTCACGCGGGCCGGAGTATTAGGGGAGGTGGAGCCTGGTCGTTGGGGTGAGTGGGGGCGGAGTCAGGGTCACGTGAGGAGGAGGAGGAGTCAGGGTCACGTGAGGAGGAGGATATAGGGTGAGAACCGGAAGGGGATCGGGAGTCGAGAGAGAGTGAAGATAGGAGAAGCCACGCGGGGTGGTGGCGGAGGAGTGGCACGAATTGCCACGTGGTCGGAGTCACGGCACCGTCGGCCAGCGGTGTACGTGGAACAGCGGAGTGGCTGCAGAGTGTGCGGGAGCACACTGAGCAGCAGAGTGGCTGCAGAGTGTGCGGGGCACACGGAGCAGCGGAGTGGCTGCAGAGTGTGCGGGGCACACGGGCAGCGGTGTGGCTGCAGAGAGAGCGGAGGACTCGAACGGCGTGCGGGGGGGCACGCGACGGAAGAGGTGCGGGTCCGACCGGGGACATCGCGGGGTGTGAGACAAGAACCCAATAAAGGACAGACGGAGACCAACATCGCCTAAGAGTCCTTTATTACATATTTAAGGCCTCGACATAGAGACGTTGTCTTTCTGTGTACCTATGTGTGTGTCTATCTCTGTTTGTCTCTGTGTGAGTCTCTCTCTGCTTGTGTGTCTGTCTGTGTCTCCGTGTCTGTTTTGTCTCTCTCTCAAATTTAGCAATCTTTGGAAGAACATAATCAACCAGGTAGGGTGTTGACTGTTGTGTTGGCCAACTCTCTGTGTTGTATTGCATTATATTTCCAAGTTTACTATGTTTGTTTTCTCATTCATTTGTACCTGATGATGGTTGCTTGTGTTGCAATCGAAACGTCGTATTCTATTATTATTTAATTTATTTTCTTTCTATGTGACTTTACCGAAAGAACCAAAGAGTAATTCCATAACTGGGCAAAGCACTTCGATATGAGAAAATAAAATAAAGTGATTTTTGTCATTTTTTTTACATTGCATTACATGTGTAGTGAGCCCAAGGACGAGGGGGAGCCGGTAGTTGAGGCGACACTTTCATTTAACAACACTAGTGTACAGGGTCTCTAAGACAAAGGGGTAACGGCCCCTTACACCCGCTACCTGGAGAGGTATGGCCTCCGGGCTATCGTGCCTCCTCACACTGGGGACCACTCTGCTCTCAGCCCTCCGGCTAGGGGCCCTAGGGGAGGCTACCCTGACCTGACCCAGCCAAGGTCCTCGGGTCCCGGCCACTGGCCCACTCAGTCCCGGCCCTTACAAGGACGTCGGGGTCTGTGGGTACCCAGGGTCCAACTACTGTCCCACCTCAGTCCCGGCCCTTAGAAGGACCGTGGGTCTGGGGGCCTCTGGGTCCTACTCTAAGCCCGGTCTTCAGTCGAAACCGGGTCAGGGGTCCGGCTTTTATACACCTGCCAGGGTTCCCACGCCTCTGGCCACGCCTCCCTTCTAGAGAGTTACAGAGGGACCTGGAATTTTCCCCCAGCCCCCCTCTTGGGGTCTGGGGAACCTTGGTGGCCCACACATCACACCCTACTGGTGGATGTCTGCTAGTGCAGGTAAGTACCCCGTTTATTGCGTTAAACATGCAATTACAACGAAGCTACTGAACTTAACAGTTACAAAATAATGTTATAATGTTACATTTACGTGAGAAAAATACTGTAGTTCACAAACGTTAACTGCAGAAAACGCAGATATTTTCTTGAAATCTGTGGTACTCGTTTGAGACGTTGGGCTTACGCTGGCGTCATTGTCAATGATGTCACCTGTGAAGTGACCCTGCTCACCATCCAGAAACGGCTCACTCCATGACTAAATCCTAAATCGGCCCACCCCCCGCCCACCTCTAGAAGACACCGAATCTTTCATCTGACACATTCCTACAGCCTTAGCACAATTTAAACATGCCAGTAAGAGTATGGGAGGGATAAGGGCTTGTGGCGAGGATCGATGCTAAACTTTGTAGCAATAACGTGATGTAAAGAGATAGGTTTTTTTCAAAAGCATGCTCTTTTAACTCACAGGAGAGAAAAGTTCAACATATTACATTTTCTATGTGTGATTTTCTTTACTCAACAACGGGCACAAAAGTTATATGTTAAAAAAATGTAAGCAAAGATGAACATCACTCCAATTTGAAAGTGCTTGTTATTCATACTGTATATTCTGAAGATTTTACATGTCATAAAACATGCTTTTACACATTTCATTTACACATTTCATCCCAATATGAAACGCAAATATGTGCAATAAATCGACTGTAACCTGAAAAACCAAAGAACCCCAGGCACGATAACAATTTTCTCACATCCCGCACCTTTGTGGAAATGTACGCAACAACAAAAAATTGATGGAGAATGGTTGCTGAAAAAACACACACACACACGTGCTCCTCAGTTATGAGCTGCTGACAGGCTGGCAAACAGGTTTGCTTGTTGTGAGGATTTGCTTGCATACCATGAGTAGGCAGCTGCTCCGAGTCTGCTATACTGACGGACGGCGCAGCCGGCTCGGGGTCACGGGTTACGTCCGTGTACCTCGGCTTCCTGTTTGAACCTGCGATTCAGCGGTGAGATAATGCAGAGATTCAACAGCAAGAAAGGTAACACTGGTTGGGCACAGTTACTGTGAGCTTAACCCTTTAGAACATCCATATTCATTAGCACCCTTAAGTTTGCCTCCAAGCACAGTCATGCAATTGAGTTTTCCTGTTATTAAGCCTAAACTTTCAGTTACAAGCTCTCCTAGCCAATCCTATTACCCATTGCTGACAACAATGAAACGAATTACTGGATTGGCCGGAATGCCACCAGAGACTTGTGTTATTGGTTGTCACATTTTTAGGCTAAATTACCACAAACATCTGTTTCAGTATTTCCCAGATGAAAATAAATCCATAATTACTAATCAAAAATAAGGCATTGGATACAAGGATACATGTTTGGGTGCTACAGTATTCATCATGCAAGAACATAATTATTCAAGTACCATATACACTATTTAACAATGGCTATTTTCCCTATGAATTGCTGTATTACGTGTTAGTGTAATACACTCCTGCACATTTTCATACTATAACTTCAATAAATGACATTAATACAGAATACAGTAAGCACACCGTTGGTTAACGTAACCTCTGAGCATATCAAGACATCCACATCCATTCGTGGATCTTCATCCACTAAGATCTCCCATTGCCGGGTTGGTCATATAATTGTATATAGCCATACTTCACACTGCTGGTCAGGCTCTTAAACCCAGTGCAAATACTCTTCAGATTATTATCCATCCATATTTACACATCACCACAGCAATGTAACTATACTGTACTGTGTAAAACATACTTTTAAATACAAATGAAATGCAGGAATAAACCAGTAGTCTGATTCAATTTAAGCATGACTGGAATAAGACACTGACACAACCTGAACCCAAGTTCATAATACAAAATATAACATTACCACTTAAACGAGATGCCCTCGGCCCCTTAAAACGTGAACACTTTGAGCCAAGTGTCACACTGTGTAGCAAAACTGCACAAACGTCATGCGTTCAAGGCATAAGGGTGGATGAGACCTAAGTTGTTTGGAATGTCTTCGTAAAAAAAACATTCCTCAATACGGTTTCTGTAAATCCAAATGTAATGCAAACTTCAGTCTGGCTCGTATTGCTTTGCACCGTAAAATTTCTACATTTGGTGAAGTTGAGATTAATGTATACAGCAAGAGGCAACATGTTAATTCAGTGCGAGTCAGAGTATGTCTTACTTACATGCTCATTGGTGAAGGTGCAATTATAGCAATTTGCATTGCTTTTTTAATGCAGTTATATTTTTACATAGTTTCCAAAGCTGATATTAATTTAACCCCATAGGACTATATAATTGAATGAAAAAACATGTGGAGTCCTTGCAAAACACATTCTGCATTAAAAAAGCAGGAACAGATTTTTCTACTTTTCTGAGGATTAAATATCAAGTGGTACAGTAGTTAGAGGTTTTAAGACATGGACTTATTTTTGCACAGTTATTAAATATCGCTTGCATTTATTAAAAGCTTGAGCAAAAATACACCCTCAAAAATGTCATTTCCATATATAATTGCATGAATACAATTGACTCGAGAAGCAATATTTAAGTTCACAAAATATAATTTACAAGCCAACTCATTCACTACAACTACACTCTTCAAATGTATTGACAACTTTTGGTAATTATACTACGAATCATTTTAGCGTGTGGTTATAGGAAGTTGACAAAAAATAAACTATTATTTTGCATAACTATATAAACACATACAGTACTGTATTTCTGACAGTGATCCTTATATAAAGACTGAAATAACTGCACAAGAATAGTGCATGAAGTTTAGTAGTTACCTTCACGTCAGCAAAAAGTGTCTTTCATTCAGTGGAAATGTCTTCCACTCTTACGACACATGGCATCTTCACACAGTAAAACTAAGTATGAACTCATAAGTTATTGGGACCATAAAATTAAATGACAAAAAAATGTGTGTCTGCTTCCAGAATTGCTACGGCCATACTGGCTTTGCTACCACTGCTACTAAACGAGTTAGTTACAGCTCCCAGGAAACGACGTGGGGGCAGGGGGGGAAGAGACAGATTCATCTGTTGGAGCCATCAGTTTGCTCCACGGTAATACGAGAAGCCTGCAAGACCGGCGAGTTGGGCCCATAAAGTCACGAACTAGGAGGGCTCTGCCGCAAACGCCCAAACAACGCCAAGCCAGAAACTGAAAGGGATGGCCATGAGTCGATGCGGGGCAGGAAGGAAGAGACGCCACTGGAAAAAGAGCACCGAGAACCTCTCCCAGTGTGTTTTTGCAAAGACCAAAACAAAGGCAGGAATGCTGGGGGAGAGTGGGGCCTTAAATGTGGGGGCCTTAAAGGCGGGGGCCAGTGGGTGTAATTGTTTTACTTTTGGGTCCCCTTTGGTAGCCCACGTAGTGCTTATTGCTCCAAACTGTCCTGTTATGTAACGGTGTCCATTATGCAATGGAATTCAATGCATATTTACTCTATGTAATATAATGGGGTGTTGTGGGGGCATTGGTGTACGCCCATTGTGCCATTTCACTTAACACTTTTTACATGAAACTAATATACTGTCATCATCATCACGATCCATGGGGTAGCCCGGTAGGGTGTCCACTGCACATTTCGTCATTTGTTTAAATTTTCCCGTCTTGTGCCAATATGCTCAAGTAGTGCACATCTATCTGGCACCAATCTCTTATGTCGTCAAGCCATTCTGTTAGGTCTTCTATACTGTCGGATACTATATTTCACTTTGCTAAATATTTTCTTCAGCTCATTACCAGAGTTAATGTGTTTAATTAAAATGCCATGTTTTAATAACATTAACGTTTGTTTTGACTTCCATAACTGTACTGTATATACAAAGCAGAGCGACTTTAACTTGACATTAGAATGTTTTTCTTTAAACACTTGTTTGCCTTTACCCAACTAATACTGAAAACGGAGCAACATGAAGCCGCAAACATGGAAAAAATTTACAATTTCTGCTCTAGTTGCATTAATCCACTCACGAATGTTGCAGCTGCTGTTGCTACTACTGCAAAAAGCTTTATTGAACAGCTCTGCAAAGGACATCACCCTGACCTGATCTTTAATCACATGGGCAAATGACCCTCTTTATTTTTGCTTGCCAACACATTGTAAGTAGCCATCAGCTAAGGCAAGTCACCCCGAACCTAACCTCAAAGCACCTGCAGTCACGAAAGCTTTAAATCGAAATTTGACCTTATGACCGTTAACCTGAACATCTCACCTTTTGTATGATTTCACATTCCGCCAGCTTCTGAATCATGAGCTGAGTTAACGCCGTCCTAAAATAGCCCCACCCCTCCTTGCTCCAGTGGTAAAAGATTCGGTGCTCATCCATCCCCTTTAGTAGTCCTGAGCGAGTGGTGGAAATTCCACATTCCTAGGACGACAACTATAGGAAGTAATGTTGTATATGCCATGACAAATGTGTACTGTGTTATCGGTTTTTCGGAAATGTTTCCACACTATTTATTACACGTCTTTAAACATGAAGGCCTTGCTGAGACTCCAGACTTTTTAAGGAGTGTCATGTTTCCATCGGCCAGTTGGTAGATTGATATTTGTGATTTGCACTCAGTTCTTTGATCCATGGATTTATTGTTGGAGCATCAATCCCTCCCAGATGATGTGCTCCCATCATTCCATTTTAGTGCTGTCCTCTGTACATCCTGTAGCAATCTTTACCAAGTACAAGTGTAAAATATTCAACCCCCTGAGATTAATTTAATTGTCATGACTCAGGGTCATGAACAGACCTGGGATCAATTACAATTGTAATCGTATCATTCGCTGTCACAATGTAGAGTATATTAATTGGTGATATAATTTGTAATTTGAGATGACTGCAGTGTCTCGTCATTGTTTCCATTTTTCATATGCGGTGAAAGCTGGCGCCTCTAGTGGCCACAGAGTTATTTTATTTTATTTAACCACGTGGGAACTCCAAGAGACCAGGATAGTGTAATTTTTTTCAGGTCACCTGGGTCCTCAAAATGACAAGAGTATTACAGAGAACATATACGGTTCGTGCATTATCACGCACGATTCCACGTGTATATATTGAGGGTAGAAGTACAAATTAAAAGAATGGTTAAACCCCCTAACACCAAGCATGTAAAATGTAAATGTGCGAGCCAAAGACTATGTATAGCATAATTTTGGAGCTTTCGTGACTGCAGGAATTATTCTTTGGTTCTTTCGGTTAAGTCACGTCTAAAGATAAAATAATAAATTTAAATAATAGCATGTTACGACGTTTCGATTGCAACACAAGCAATCATCATCAGGCATAAAAGAAATAGCAACAAAAATCTAACTAGAAAACTAGTTAGATGTCTGTCTATAGTTTTCTAGTTAGATTTTTGTTGCTATTTCTTTTATGCCTGATGATGATTGCTTGTGTTGCAATCGAAACGTCGTAATATGCTATTATTTTAATTTATTATTTTATCTTTAGACGTGACTTAACCGAAAGAACCAAAGAATATGTATAGCATGTTTTGCATTAATATGGTTATAGACTCACGTGCCTGTCGCGCGACTGTACTTCCAGTAATAAGTGTCAATAATATTAACGGTTTCCTCCCAAAATTACCAGTTTTTCCATATACATAACATTCCATTTGTCAGTACAGTTCTGGTTTTATCAAGATGCAAGTTTTATATGAGCAACAGGCTGATTTACACAGTAACAGATGGGGAAATGTGCAGACCTTTTTTTGCTATAACCAGACTTTTATTTTACTGAAGCATTCAGAACACAAGATCGTTATGGTCAAAGCGTGCAATCTAAATTCTGCAAAGCACGTGTTAGTAAAAAAAAACTGGCCGTTCTTGCGTATTTAGATAATAGTGCCTTTGTTGCAATGTGTCATACTACGGTGTGAAAAATAAAACCCAGTGGAACCTGTGGGTGTCAATAACTGCAACAGCCGGAATCGATGGCCCATCCAGTTGTTTCATGAAAAC